ATGAAGCAGCTTATTTTTTGAAGCTAGTCACGTTTATAATAATGTATCACCTGGTAGTTTTATCAATTATGCTTTAATTTTTTAGTAAAATAGATACATACAGTTGTGATAATAAAACATTTATTTACAATTTCTTAGTAAACATTTTTTATGATTATCTGTGACTTGGCAAATCAACATTTGGGGCTTGTATTTTTCACTCAGCTTGAATGTGTGTTATATTGTACTATGTTGGAAATAAATGAACCTCTTTTCTTCCATAATATAAGCTGTTTTGTAAAACCAGTAGAAAAACAAAAACCTAACATGTTATTTGTCACAGATAATGCAGTAGGCATTCTGAAGCTTCTTTCTGGTTTGGTCGCCAGCCCTTTTGATTCCTAGCAAAATTTTAAATATTCCCAGGTTATCTATAGGGACAATACTCATTTTTATCACACTTGACATATCCTTAATTGATCTTCTATGTCTGTGGCTTGGTTTGGAAATTAGAGGATTTAGTTTCCTTCCTCTGGCTAAATTCCTGAATTAATACTTTATTTCCTGCCTTATAGGTGCTAAGGTTAAGTTTCTTTCCAAGTTTTGCTTTTCTTACCATGTTCGTTTGTTGAAGGGTGGGGCCAGGGAGGTGATGTATATGTGTTCTAGTGCCCACTGACCTGCCAAGATGAGGGTAGAGGGGGCCCTTGAAGAGAAGCTTGAGCCAAATATATTTCACTGGACAATTTAGATTTAGTAAAATCAGTAACCAAGTGCAACAAGGGTGAAGATGCGGGTTTGCAAAAATTGGTTCAGCCTTATTTGGTCTTTGGTTCGTGGGCTACCTTTTGAGAATCATTGCTCCAGAAGCTAGGGGGTGGAATGATGAGTGGGAAGTTTGACCTTTCCTTTTTTATTTTTCTATGTTTCTATCTGAATCTTTTATAGTGAGCATATATTAGTTTTGTCATTTTAAAACATAAGAAAGAAAATGAAAGTTGGGAGAAGGGACAATGATCTCCCAGAAGACAGTAATTACGTTTCCACTTCAACAGCAACAAAATTCTCATTTTAGTTTCTAATTATAGGATCTCAGAATACATCTAAATTTTAAATGTAGTTGATATGTTTCGAATAGGCTCCTATTCAAAATACCAAGATGAGCAAACAAATAATGCAAGTTCCGGGTCCTTTGTTCCCTTTTTGTCTGTTAAAGAACTGGGCACATACCACTAGGTTTTCCCTCCATAAGATGTCTTTGCTTTTTTTTTTTTTTTTTTAAAGGTAAAATGAAAACAGTGAGTAGAGTCTGACATATTTATTTGATAAAATATCATAGATCTAAATGGCACAATATAATTCAGATTTCACTAACATTTATTTAATATCATTGTCATGTATTTCACTTAATGTTTACATTAAACTTGTAAGGTAGCTCATACTATTCTCTCTTTTTCCAGAAGACAAGGATATAGATGCAGAGAGAAATTAATAGCCCCAAACAAGTACTTAGAACAGAACCCAAGTTCAGTTCTAGTTTCATCCGACTGTAGGCCAGTGGTTTTTCTCATTTTGCTCATTTCTCATCCCTTTCTCATTCAGCAGAGCTGATGATTCCTGCCCATCAATAGCAGTGTTCCTCTCTGGGGTGAGAAGGTGGGAGATTATCCCTGGGGGCTCATCAGAATCTATGTGTGGGATGATATGTGTAGTTTGGAAAAGATGCCAGAGATAATTCTACTTCCCTACCAGCTGCCCGGATCAACATTCTTTGCACTACCCCACACTGTACCATGATGGTTTGATTTTAGTCTATTGACTTTAGAATAGGACCTCTTTCAGTTTTGTATTTAATAACTCTGTAAATAGGGATTCCCCCCCACACACATAAATTTACCAGGCAATTCATTTCATGGAATTTTTCTGGGCTAGCATATTTCCTTCTCCCAGAAATAAATCATGCATTATGTGGGGTAAGGAATTTTTTTTTTTCTTACTTTTCCCCCCATTCTTTTAAATCTAAATTCGATTAATTAGCATTTAGTGTATTATTAGTTTCAGAGGTAGAGGTCAGTGATTCATCAGTCTTATATAACAGCCAGTTCTCACTACACCACGTGCCGTCCTTAATGTCCATCACCCAGTTACTCCATCCCCACACCCCCCTCCCCTCCAGCAACCCTTAGTTTGTTTCCTATGATTAAGGGTCTCTTATGGTTTGTGTCCCTCTCTGATTTTGTCTTGTTTTATATTTTCCTCCCTGCCCTATGCTCCTCTGTTTTGTTTCTTAAATTCCACATGAGAGTGAAATCATATGGTAATTGTCTTTCTCTGATTGATTGACTTATTTCGCTTAGCATAATGCCCTCTAATTCCATCCATGTTGTTACAAATAGCAAGATTTTTTTTTTTTTGACAAACAGAGATCACAAGTAGAGAGAGAGAGGTAGGCAGAGAGAGAGGAGGAAGCACACTCCCTGCTAAGCAGAGCCTGATGTGGGGCTCGATCCCAGGACCCTGAGATCATGACCTGAACCAAAAGCAGAGGCTTTAACCCACTGAGCCACCCAGGCGCCCCTAGATTCATTTTTGATGGCTGAGTAATATTCTGGTTCTGTGTATGTATGTGTGTGTGTGTGTGTGTATCCCAAATTTTCTTTATCCATTCATCTGTCAGTGGACATCCGGGCTCTTTCCATAGTTTGGCTATTGTGGACATTGCTGGTATCAACACTGGGGTGCAGGTGCCCCTTTGGATCACTACATTTGTATTTTGGGGCTAAATACCTGCAATTACCGGGTCAGAAGGCAGCTCTATGTTCAATTTGTTGAGGAACCTTCACACTGTTTTCCAGAGTGGCTGCACCAGCTTGCATTCCCACCAACAGTGTAAGAGGGTCCCCCTTTCTCCAAAGATGCCTTTGCTTTTGACTGTTGCACAAAAGGCACTGGCACACATATAAATACTCAGCTACATTTATCATTTTTCTCTGCTAATTCAGGTAAATCTGGGAATGGAAAGAACAGAGTCCCAGTTAATGCTTAGTTTATCCTTGGACATTATAGCTCTCAGATTAGGAATTCTTGCTAATCCCTGCCCAACTTTATATTTGGCCCCAAATTATCTGTTCTTATTTCTTCTGTTCCTCACAAATTGGAGAGATGAGAGCAATTCATAAACATTTCACTATAATTATTGTCTTTCTAATAAATGATTTTAAAAATATATTTGGGAGGGTGCCTGGGTGTCTCAGTGGGTTAAAGCCTCTGCCTTCGGCTTGGGTCATGATTCCAGGGTCCTGGGATCGAGCCCTGCATCAGGCTCTCTGCTCTGTGGAAAGCCTGCTTCTCCCTCTCCCACTCCCCTTGCTTGTGTTCCCTCTCTCTGTGTGTGTCTCTCTCTGTCAAATAAATAAAATCTTTAAAAATACACACACACACACACACACACACACATATATATATATATATATATATATATATATATTTGGGTAGGATTTTAAAAATCCGTGATCAGACCCTTTATTTTCAAGGTAAGAGAAATAATCAAAAGCATAAAACTTACCAAGAAATTAGAAAAAAAATGTCTCAGGTCAAAGTGTAATTTCCTTCTAATAGTTTTCCAGCCAAGAGAAGAAAAGAGAGGCCTCAATGAGTAACTAACTGTAATACTGACCTTGTCTGTTGAACCAATGAAATGTTCTCACTAGAGTAAAAATGTCACATTTCATTTTCAGTCTATACCTAAATATTAACACTATTGAGTTATTTCTTTGATGTCTTTCAAGTTTATTCCCTCATAGAAAATATTTAATTTTTCCCAAAAATATAAGTAATATCTATTTACTGCACTAAAAAAATATATTAAGAAAAAGTTAAAAATCTCCTATAATCCTACCACCTTTACATAGCTACTGTTAGCATGAAGGAATATGTTTGACTACATGTATAGCACCATCATATTCTGCATGCTCTTTATAGCATGGTTTTCCAGTTGTCAGGACATCATTTGGGTATTTTTTCCATATCAATAAATATATATCAGTCATATTGTCATTTCAAATCATTTCATGGAATCCCCTTAAAAGTCACGTGTATTAGTTATTTTTTTACTACAACAAAATAATACTTTAGTAAACTATCTGTCCTTGTATCTTTGTATACCAGTCTGATTTCCTTAGGGTAAAGATTTAGCTGTGGGATTGCTGGATCAATGAGGCATGTTCTTCTTTTTCCAAAGACTTCATAATAAAATGACTCCTAGAAAGATTATACCTGATTTACACTCCGTTTGCCCCAGCTGATCCATTTTTTAATCTGATGGTTAAAAAAATCATTATTAGTTTGGTTTTCTTTTCTTTGACTACTTCTGAGGTTGAGGTTGAACGTCTTTTCAAATGTTCTGCATGAGTTGCCTGTTCATGCACTTTGCCTATTTTTCTCTTGGAATGCTATCTTGCTGATCTGTGAGTGCTTTTCATCTTCTGTAAAACACAGGCTACTGTTCATTGTATTTGATGAACTGTTTTCTTCCCTGTGCATTTAAAAATTATTGTAAGATATTACAATTATAATTATTTCATAAGAATTATAAGCAGATCTAGAGACTTAAGTGGTGTTAAAGCTCAGAGGTTTTTTGATACAGACCTTCCTTTTTGTCTGTTGCCCTTGGAGAGGTAAGCAAATACTTTTATGTAAGACTGAGTGGTAGATGTACATTCTCATAAAGTTATACATATGTTGAGACATGCTCTGTGGTTTTTTAAATCTGTTGATCTCTGAACTTTTCTCCAAGCCCGGAACCAGCCCTGCAGCAGGAGCTGAACAACATAGGCATAAGAGGGAGAAACCAAATCCTGTGCTGACATTTTTTTGTTACTGTTGCCGTTGGTCTCCTCGGGAACTTGCCATTGTTAATGTGGCTCACTGTTCTTACTGTGATCCACGCGATCTCACCTCCAGGTCCATCTGCATAAAAAATGGATTGTCTAATGCTGGGCTGTATTTCCATGTATTTTCAGAGTATCCACGTCCTGGAGAGGACTGCTTCCTCCAGCACGGAGCCCTCTGTCAGTCGGCAGTTGCTAGAACCAGAGCCGGTCCCCCTTTCCAAGGTCAGTGATGGGATGTGATGCTTTCTAGGATGGCGTGATGCCTGTTCTGGGGCCAGCAGGACTATAAACAGGCCTTCCACCTGACTTCCCTTAGGGTAGCTGGGATTCCTCCCATGGGCCTCTGCTGCCACATCTTTCTATCTCCAGTATGTTGGCTTTCTTTGCCTGGTGTGAGGGAGGAACAGATGAAAGTGTATTTTGCTGGGAATTGCAGGACTACAAAGATCTGAAATACTCTTTAGTTTAAAGGAAGAAAAACCATGGTCATTCTCCTGTTGGAGACATGAGCAGCTATTTCTACATCAAGCTAATAAAAACAATCATTGGGTCCAGCAAAAAATCACAGTACTAACAACAGCAGCAAGAGCTACCATGATCGCCTGTGTACTGCATCCCAGGAAAGGTGCCAGGTGCTTAAATACACGATCCCATTGAACAGAACCCTTGCTAACAGCTCCGTGCACTGTAGGTATCTATTACGTTTACAAATATGGAAACCGAGAATGAGGAACTTGCTTGAAGTCTGAAAAAGCTGTTCAGTGGCAGGGCAGGGATTCAGACTTAAGACTATTTCAGTTCTAGCCCCACTGCAGGTCCAATAGCACCTGCCTGGAGGGGCTGTTGGACATTCAGAGTCCCAGGCATTCCTCGCTGTGAGCTCTGAGGAGAACACCGCAGACTACTGATGAAAACCTCTTTTGTTTAATGGAACCCAGCATTCCCTCCCTTCAGAAGCGTTCTCTTTCTTGGACTGGGAAGACATCTAAATTCATTTGTGTCTCAAATCAAAAAAATCATAAGGAAAAGTTGAGGAGACACCATCCTACTCATCCCTATCCCTTCCTCTACTCCGTGCAGTTTTCTTCAGCGGGCTGCCTCTCCTCTGGAGAAACTCAGAGAATAGAATGCTTGGGGATTTGGAATGCAAATATAAAAATAGCACTTTATTTCCCCAAAAAGACTTTTAAATATTTATCACTGATTCTTCCACTTTGCTTTTCCTATACTAAACAGAATCCTTTAAGGAAAGAACATACTTCATGGTATGGAATATATATTCTTGTGCTCTTTATGTTTGGAAGACATTGCAAGTTATAAAGTTTGTGGTATTGGACTGGAGTAGACTGCAGAACTAAGGAAAGGGGGTTATCAAACTTAAAAAATAATTTAGAGAGAAAGAGAAGATGATCTGATTTCTATTTGAATGGCAAACCGAGAGAATGCCTACCTGGTAACTACAACTAGTAATCTCTTTGAAAACATCAGTTCTGTCTTACAGGCAGCTAGCGGAGAGAGAGAAGTAAATACTGGGTCAGTGGGCGAGGCAGCTAACATTCTTGAGCATCTCCTTTGTCCCAGGCATTGGATCAGTACAGACACTCTTTTCCAACATCAGCCTCCTCGACAAAGTGACTACCAATGTTCCTCTCATTTTGCTGAGAAGGAAAACAGACTTGGGGTGTCACTAAGTTAGTTGTCCAGAGTCAGATAGCTGTGAGGTGTGTGCTAGAAACCAGGATGGTGGGCGATACACGGTGAGAGGAGACCTCTGAGATGGACACGCAGAAACGGAAAGGAGAGTTGCTGGTATTAAAAGCACAGATCAGGGGGCACCTGGGTGGCTCAGTGGGTTAAAGCCTCTGCCTTCAGCTCAGGTCATGATCCCAGGGTCCTGGAATGGAGCCCGCATCAGGCTCTCTGCTCCGCAGGGAGTCTGTTTCCTCCTCTCTCTCTCTGCCTGCCTCTCTGCCTACTTGTGATTTCTGTCTGTCAAATAAAATAAATAATAAAATCTTAAAAAAAAAAAAAAAGATCAGGAGGAGCTTTCTGGTTGTTGAGCACAGGGAGGCCCTGGGGGATTGCCGCCCCTGCAGAGGGCACAGAAGCTGAGGGCATGGAAGCTCCATGCCCCGTGCCGAGAGCTTGCCCGAGAGCTTGCCCTCTGTGTCTCTTCCGTCCGGCTCTTCCCGAGTTTTATCCTTGTGTAATAAACTAGCAGTCTAGTACAAGAACAGTAATAAAGAGCAGATGCCCACGAGGCTTGCTCTGGTCCCTCGTCTCCCACCATGTGCACCGCTAGCATCCTTGGCGTCTGACTGTATACGTCAGCTACGTCCGTTTGCACACAGTTCCCGATCCTGGCTGTGCTCTTGCTCTCCTCCAGTGTGGCATGTCTGCTCCTTCTGGAGTCTCTCCTGCACCTCGCTAAAACTCCTACTCTTTTTTTTTTAAACAAATTTTTATTTATTTGATAGAGAGATCACAAGTAGGCAGAGAGGTAGGCAGAGAGAGAGAGGAGGAAGCAGGCTCCCTGCGGAGCAGAGAGCCTGATGCGGGACTCGATCCCAGGATCTTGAGATCATGACCTGAGCCAAAGGCAGAGGCTTAACCCACTGAGCCACCCAGGCGCCCCAAACTCCTACTCTTCTAAGCCAGGCCCACAGGACTCCTTCTTCAAAGGCTGCTCCTCACCCCCCTTCCCCGATGCACCCTCCGCCCCAGCCTGTCCCTGTGCTTACGACATCTCTTACTTTAGCTTACCTTCTGTCTTACATCAGGTCGTCTAGAAGGGGGACTGGGCGTAGGCGGTTTGTGATTTATTGAGGGAGAGCCCTCGGGAGCAAGGAGAAGCAGAGGCGAGGGCAGTGCAGTGCTGGCAGGAAGGGGTTTGCGCTGGAGTTCCCCCTGGACCCCGTTCCCAGGGTGAGCCCCGGAGCATGGATTGGACCACAGATTTGCTCTCACCCTGAGGCAGGGACTTTTTGTTCCCTCAGCTGTTTGTACTCTTGTGTCCTTCAGTAGGTGAGTGTCTTGAGGGAGGGAGAGGCTGAGCTGTAAATGCCGCAGCTGTGGAGGAGGGAGATTCGCGCCCAGGCAGCTGGGGCCAGGATCTGCTGGCCTGATGCGGGCATCTGGGTCGGGCTCCAACAGCATCCGCTTCCCATTTTCCTCCGTGGCTCCTGCTCTAGGACTGCTACTCTTGTTGTGGTGGGTTTTGTATTCATAGGTACCGTATCTCCGGGGGCCTCATGAAATCAGAGGATCCCATCCTTTCCAGGGACCATAGCACCTCACCCTCTCTCAGTGCCTTTGCAAGAAGACAGGCTTCCTGGGCCCCAGTGGGTGGTGGAAGAACGCTGAAGTACGCAGCAGCGTCCTGACTCAGGGGTTGTTGACCTTCTTTGTTTGGTGTTTCCACCTTCGGAAGCACATTCCCAGACCACCTGCCCCCGGCTATCCCGCATCTAGAGATACTCCGGAGAAAGGAAATGTCTCTGTTGAGCAGACTAGGGCTGTTATCCGGTGACTTTCTCTTTTTAGTTATTATTAGATAAAAAGCGTATTTCAAATTTCTGGAACAGCAAAAATGTTTGTGTATCTGACTCAAGTCCTGATATGATCACATTAGGGCTTTTGACCCTGTTTCTATTATAAGTAAACCAACGAAAATTGGAGACTTTAAAACAGAAAATTAAGATCAGTTGAAATTACAAAAAAATTCTTCAGTTTTCAGAAAATGATATTAACTTTCTTGAGGTCAACCTAGTCTACTAGGCATAGAGGTGGGTGGTAGTAAGTACTGAGATGGGCGGTTTCCATATCTTACGCACCTTATTTACAACATTATCATCAGCATTATAATTGAAATAGGGAGAATGTTGTTTGCTCTGGATTTACCTCCTTGCCTTTTTGTCAGTTTGACAGCTTATTAAATGTAAGAACTGTATTAGGATCCTTTTCAATTTCCTTTGGCTTTAGTAACATTGGTTAGAGCAAATGGAGTTATTTGTTCGGAGCTACTGCATTTATGTTTAAAAATACATTTTAATTTTTTGCCTTTTCTATCTCATCCCTTTTTTCCCCTCCTCTGTAGTTAAATTAAAAAAAAAAAAAACCTTAGGGGCGCCTGGGTGGCTCAGTGGGTTAAAGCCTCTGCCTTTGGCTCAGGTCATGGTCCCAGGGTCCTGGGATCGAGCTGCGCATGGGCCTCTCTGCTCAGCGGGAAGCCCGCTTCCTCCGCTCTCTCTCTTCCTGCCTCTCCACCTACTTGAGATCTCTGTCTGTCAAATAAATAAAATCTTTAAAAAAAAAAAAACAACTTATGTGATAGAAATCAGTAGCCATAGTACCATAGCAATAAGTTGGTATTATAGCCTGTGTTTAATTAGAAAAAAATCCAAAAAGCACTATACTTATTAAATACTTCCATTTTACAAGTTTTCCAGTGTATTCTTCAACACACACACACACACACACACCACATTATATATAAATATATATACATATATATGTGTAGAATATGTATACACACATTCTGTATATACACACACATATCACATATATACGCACATCATACACACACACACACAGAATAAGTCAAAGATGAATACTAGCCTTCAAATAAGATCTAGCTTAAAATGAAAATGTTATTCTAGAAATGCTATCCATGGATAGAGCTACTAAAAATAGAAATGTCATTAAATACAGCTGCTATCTAAGAACAGAAAACACTAATGAATATATTTACACATATAGAGTTTTCTTTAATTACGTGATTGTATCAAACTTTTAAAAAAAGAAATCAGTAGAAAGCTATCATTTTTATGAAAATTTTAATTTACTTTTCTGGTGGTAGTAGAACCTAGTATTTTCTCTAATTATTCTAACATTCATAAGCAATGCTGATTTGTTAAGTTGCAGTTCAGTATTTTAAAATGGGGATACCAGAGCACCCTACTTTGTGCTCTGGACCATAATGCCACCTGCACTAGTATTGTACAAAAAAACATGGTATACAGCCTGAAATTGTCTCATTAGAAATATTTCTTAAAAAATTACTATATCTAGCAGTGCCCGAGTGGCTCAGTTGATTAAACATCCGACTCATGAATTTGGCTCAGGTCATGATCTCAGGGACACGAGATCAAGCCCTGCATGGGGCTCCACACTGGGCATGGAGCCTGCTTGGGATTCTCACTCTCCATCTCCCTTTGCCCCTTCCTCCATGCTTGTGCGCTTTCTTTCTCTTTTAAAAAAAAATTAATAAATTGCTCTATCTAATTAACAGTTTTGACCAGCTCAGTCACACAGTTCCTGACAGTGTTATCTTCAAGTAGAAAATTACTTCTTGAGCTGTGTGTAAGGAGACACTTACAAATACTGTAAAGGTTCTTAAGGCTGATAAGTGGATACCAGTAAGTGTGTTTTTGCAAGGTAAATAGTTCATTCACTGGGGACCCCTCAGGGATGACCAAGTAGACAAACAAATGGCACTGGTCTCAGACTGGTTTTCTTTGTCCAGTGGGGGGAGCATTTAGAGTTGGATTTGGAAGAACAGAGGCATGATGTTGACTGAGGGGGCTTTTTATAAGCCAGGAGTGTCTCCTAGGCTTGGTGATGCTAGAATGAAGCAATGTTCGGCTGCATGTCCTAGAAACATAACTTACTGTGAAAAAACACACCCCTGTTTATACCTACTTGACCTTAAACAGAGATGTGACTTGGCCATAGGGCAAGTGGCTTCTGGGATGGAAGGAGGGAAAAAGGAAAGGGGGAATGGTAGGTAACTATATCAGCCCCTCCCTTCCCACCCCCGGGGCCAGCATCAGTAACTGGTCATGGCACCTGTGCCTCTGGTTCTTGTCAGAGCCTCACGGTCCTTCAGCAGGTTCTGGGCAGCCACCACCTAGACCTTTACACCAGCAGGTCCATCTGCCCTGAGGTGCAATGCATCAGCCATTCCTGTTGAAGCCTCTGGTCTGTGGTTGAAGGATGATTCCTGATAGAATCAGGAATAAAATTGGAAGGCAATTTCCCAAGTCAGTTTGAGATGGGGCATTCCTCAGAGAGCCCTGCCCTCATGGGTGGCGCTGCACCCAGCTTTCCGAAGCTGAGCCTGCCGAGCAGTTACCCCGAGAGACTGGGCTTCCCTGTGCAATGGGAGAGGTTGGAGCCGTTGTGTGTGGGGCATGACATTGTTGCTCCTGCCTCTGCTGCCCCATTGCATCACATGCCTGAGATCTAGAATATCAGTATTGGTCAGGTCTGCAGTTACTTTGGAGCTGCATAGGCCCTTAGGAATCACCTGATCCAGAGATCTGAAAACCTGGAATGCTGCCAAGGGCCACGTATCTAACATGGAGACAGGCCCAAGGGGCACTGTGACAAGCTGACGATTTCCCTTGTGGCAGGCCCAGTGCTGCCAGATCTCATAGACTTGAATAAGACACTCAAAATTCAGATTTTTTTTAAAAAAGATTTTATTTATTTACTTACTTGACAGAGAGAGAGCACAAGTAGGCAGAATGGCAGGCAGAGGGAGAGGGAGAAGCAGGCTCCCCACTGAGCAGGGAGCCCAATGCCGGGTTCGATCCCAGGACCCTGGGATCATGACCTGAGCCGAAAGCAGTTGCTAAAGCTACTGAGCCACCCAGGTGCCCCAAAATTCAGATGTTTTTTACATCTGAAATCTTCTGACTTTTAAATGTTGACAACTCATTAAAAAATGTAGACATCATAGACACACAGAATGCATCTTTAAAAGAAGAAACCATGATTTGGTCTGTTTTTAACAAAGGAGGATGATCATGTAGCCTCTAGGATCCCAGATTTCTGGCCTGAGATCTGGTGCTCTTTCCGTGGGCTCCTAAGCGTGCGTGTTTCTCAGGATGTGTGTCTTCAAAAGCATGGACTTCTGGGGGTTGTGTGGTGAGCAGGGCACGTCCTATGAGCTCTGAAATGCGTGGAGCCCATGGCACCACCTCTAGTTGAGTAGGTAATGGGCCACTCAGAACACTGTGGCCTTTCCATTTTGCACAGAAGGCCGGGACTCTGCACTAATTGAACACTTGTCATCAAAACAGCCTTCCCTTAAACTGTTAAAGTGGCTTGGTGCCCAGAGATGAACTCTCTGGAAAATTGTATTTTAAACCTTCTAAGTGCATGACATCAAAACTCCATTCTGCCCCTAAGTCCAGCAGCCAGCCCTCTCAGATGGGCCTGTGAGCATCCAGGTCTACCTGGAAACTCATTTTAACTTCACTTAGCAGCACAATGCTGTGTCGAATGTTAGACTTTGCACCAGGATGTGGTTCATACTCCTGGTGCGTCTGGTGTTCCTTCAAAAGCAGCTTCTACTTAAGAATCCTCTTTGACCGTGTCATCAAACACTGAAAAACATGTGATTTAGTTTTTCTTCTTTTCTCTCAGGAAGCTGACAGCTGGGAAATTATAGAAGGGCTGAAAATAGGCCAAACCAATGTCCAGAGACCAGACAAGCATGAAGGCTTTATGCTGAAGAAAAGAAAGTGGCCTTTAAAAGGCTGGCACAAGGTACCATTTTCACCGTATTCACCTTCAGATCGTCTTTGTCATAGAGAGGATCTTATTTGGTGTCATTAGGTGGAAATCAGAGAGTATGTTTGCATGCATAAAGTAATTGTTACAGCCTTTCCTTTTTTTTTTTTTTTTAACTGTATAGGCTTCAACCTATTATACCTATTGAAGACCGAGATCTGTAATATCGGTATGCAGAGAAAACTTATTTTACATGATAGTTAACGTCCAGCTTGTACATGTTGTCTACTCTGCTGTTTTCCATTTAGAAATAATATGAATATTAAAAAATAATAATAGGACTATGTGCTTATTAAAGATATGTTTTTAAATGCATGCATATGTTCCAGTGGATGGATTTTTGTTAGATATTCCACCATGATTGAACCAATTTCCTATTGCTGGACATGGAGGATATGTCTGACTTTTTTTACTATTATGGTGTTGTGATGACCATCCTCACACACAAATGTCTGTGTAAGTCCTTGGGATGAAGTCTTGGAATGATTGTTACCAGTGCAAACTGGAGATGCTCAGTCACTGATCTTGGAAGTCTGTTTACCGCCCTCGGAAGGATGTGGCTTGTTCTTCTCCCCCCTGCCCCACATCCTTTCTCTGTCTTCCAGTTTTAATTATGGAGCAAGTATTTGGTACTGCGCTGTTGCAATTACCTGAATAACGAGAATACTGTAGTGCTAAGAAGGAGAAAATTGTCCTCCATTTTCAATATCAGCCCTTCTATAGACCACCAGTACTGTCTCTGAAATCACTGGGTTCTTAGGAAATAGCTTTTTTGCTATTTAAGGGAAAGACTTAAAGTTAATGGATGGGAAATGTTGCCCCCGTCCCCTGTCTCTGAGGGTGAAGTAAAAACAGGTCCAAGAAGCTTCTGACTAGTGTTCCTTGTCACTTGTCAGAAGCCTCCTCAGTCTCCCTTGAAGCCATAATATTATCCCAATACCTGGAATTTCTCTCTACCCTTATTCTTCCTTGGATTTTGGCCACCTGGCCATACTCCTTCCTAGAATCACCTTGTGTTTTTCATGCTGGCCTCACCACTTTGCGGTTCCTCGAATCAGTGGCCCTGCTAATCTCTTCCCCTGTGATCACACAATAGATGATCCTCGCTCATGTTCTTTGATAGGTAGAAATGGAAAAAGAGAAAAAAAAAGTCAAAGAAACCCATGCTCTCTGAATCGCTCATTGATCGCATTCTCAGGTCCACATCTCAGTCAGACTGGCTGTGGTTCAACAGCCACTCTTTCTGGGCCGTGCCTTTGAGCACTTTTCTATGTAAATAGTAAGAGGTTCTCACTTGCATTGCCTGTTCTCCCGGGCTCTAATGCCACAAATATTTATTCAAGTAATAGCCTGTTTGATAGCCCTAGCCATGGGTGATTGAGTAATGAAGTGTTTTTCAGCTGTGGAGATGCTTTCTTCCAAGGCTCACTTATTGCCCTAGAACCTGTGTCGAAGGGGTTTTTCTGACCTTCTCTGAGTTCCGTGCAGAGTATTACCTGAGCCTGACCCCCTGCCACCGAGGCAGCTAAGTTTTCCGAATCGCATAAAACCTTCCCAGCAGAGTAATTTTCCAACAATAGAAAGACTCCTTGCATCTGTGGAGACTATAGGAGAGCACTGGACCCATTGTTCGATTGGGTCCTGAGAGCTGTTCTTTCCCTTGTGAATTGCCCAGGGAAAGGAAGTCAGCAGAGGGTTCCTGAGTGTTTGTGAAGCAATGATGGCTAGATTCATTTGGACTGGACCAGGAGCATCTTGGAGGAGACAAAAACTGCCAAAAATCTTTTTCTCTTTTTTTTTTTTTGCTCTTAAAGTAACTCAGAAACAACATTTAATCTCTTGTACTAAAAGTGAAATGTAAGCATTTTGCTAAGTGGAGATGCAAGTATATTGCTAAAGCTCCTTCTTAAACTTTCCAGATAATTTCTTACTCATAGATCTAGTTCACCGACTCCTGTACCAGACTTGAGCATTTTCAGGAATTTTCCATGGTATCCAGGGAAATGTAGGAGTTTACATCCAGGGTGAAAAAAAGTCCCTCTGGTGAAGCTCCTCACAAAATCACTGTGACCTCAACTGAGTTCTTCTCATTTCTCACTTTCAAAAACACCCCAGTGTGATTCATTCAGAAAATCATGGCTGAGGATCTGAGATTCTAGCCCCCAACCCCACTCCCTCCGAGGAAAACCATGACGAAAGATTGCATTCCCACTGGATTGTGTTTAAAACAACAACAACAACCACAACAACAACAACAAAGCAAAAAACCCAAAACCCTAGTAGGCTGATGAGACGAAATTCAAGCTCAGGTTTCCTGACCAGTTAATGTGACCAACGATGACCAGGTGCACTGAATTCAAATACATGAAAATGATCAAACATACTGATTGCTAAATGCCAAGCCACATTAGCCTCACACTTGTGACTGTTCTATATGATTCAGAATGCACCCGGTAACTGGGGCTTGTTTGGTTCTTGCAGCGTTTTTTTGTCCTGGATAATGGAATGTTAAAGTATTCAAAGGCACCACTCGATGTAAGTAGCACGCAGGACATGTTTCAAAGATGGTTTTAAAGTGAGTAAACACCACCATTGTGCAAGCCTTGTGACGTAGTTCCCAGCTTTGTGCATTTGTGTGCCTGTCAGATGTAACAAGCTCCCAGACTTCTATGTTCCAGGCAAGGTGTGTTTTATGCTTGTGCTCACGCTAGCATAAAAATCTCTAACTGGAGCATGAAGATTTAATTTAACAATTGTCATGGGTGTCGTTAAGAACAGAAGGTTAAACCTACATGTGATACGCTAATAAAATGACCCCTTCTGTCTTGGAGAAAAAACCCAAATAGACTTTTTTTCCCTGCATCTCTCAATAAGCTATGCTTTATGTGCTTTATTTTGAGATTTAAAGCAACCTTTGTTCTTATCTATATCCTTTTGAAACCTATTTTACGAACTTCATTTCTGTTTCACGCATCCTTTTATCTTGAAAATCCTAACTCACTAACATCATTGCAAATAAGTAGTTGTTTGCATGTAAAACTGGAAGATACCGTCCGTCTTGTCAGTGTGGCAGAGGGAAATAAGTCAGGGTTCTGTTTTGTCCCCATCTCCTCCATCGAATTAGCCGTGTGTCCTTGATCAGAAAAGGGCAACCAGAGGAAGCACTGACTGCTCTGGGCTCTTAGTCCCAGCTGCCCAGTTCGGCCTCAGCAGCTGGCTTCTGGTTGATTACTTGAGGGATATTCTGGGTTGTAGGTCAAAGATTGACCATAGTTATTTTAGGAACCACTAAACATAGCTTTTTGGGGGATATAAACTGTGCAATCCAGAATTATGAAAATTAGCATTGTAAATTATGCCAGAAACAGGACTAAGAAACCAGTAGTCTTGGGGCACCTGGCTGGCTCAGTTGATAGAACATATGACTCTTGATCTTGGGGTCATGAGTTCAAGCCCCACCTTGGGTGTAGAGATTATTAAAAACAAATAAAGTTGAAAAAAGGAAAAGAAATGAATAGTCTTGTTTATTGAAATTGGTGGGAAGTCACAGCAGCTCCAGCTGTCCTCAGATTAAGGACCTAAACCATTTTCTCTTTGTAAAGGAGGTGTGGTATTCCATCTCCCATAGATAAGTTAAAGATTCCATTACTCTCACTTCAGTACAGAAACAGAGAAAGTCATATATCCTTCTAGCCTATTTACTAGTCTTCTGACTTCAGATTCAAAAGGGGAAGGTCCACGGAAGCATCGATGTCGGACTCTCGGTCATGTCAATTAAAAAGAAAGCTCGGAGAATAGACCTTGACACAGAAGAGCACATCTATCATTTGAAGGTAAAGTCACTTTTCAATAGTTTGAGAACAGAGAAGAGTTTCTCTGCCATTATCAGGGGAATTCACTTGCCTGTGCCAGTGGTAAATCGGAGATTGGTTCCACCCTTACTGTCTCTTCTTGTTCTTTGTTTCAGGTGAAATCCCAGGACTGGTTTGATGCGTGGGTCTCCAAACTCCGCCATCATCGATTGTACCGGCAGAATGAAATTGTCAGGTCACCGAGAGATGCTAGTTTTCACATATTTCCTTCAACCTCCACTGCCGAATCCTCACCAGCTGCCAACGTTTCTGTTGTGGATGGAAAGGTGTGACTTTGTTATATGAAAATCAGCCAGAACTTGCTTGGGCAATTATGTAGGCACATAACTGGGTCTCATTTGACAAACCAGGAAGAGAAGGTTTATTTTGTCAACTAATCCTCAGGATGACAGTGACACTGGGCATCAGAGTTAATCACAGTTATAGATTAGGTAGAAATGTGGATCACCAAGAGAATTACCAATGACTTGTCCTTTGTATGAATGGACCACATCCTAATTTTATGACTTTGTAGGGATATTAGGAACATTTGGTTAACCGGCCCCTAAAAACTGGTATCTTCCTGAGTAGTAATAAGAAGACCACAAAGTTTTAAAAATGAAACTTGCTTCCTTGCCTGGAGCTGTACTATATTACAAGACCCAGAGAGAGACCATTGAATTTCCTCATGAGGTTAGGGTAAATTGGCTAGAGAATGTGACCCTAATACACATAGTAGACTGAATGGTGAGGCACTGTGTTAACCATTTGACATTCACTCATCTCTAATCTTGTATATAGCCCGAGCTCAGAGACAGTTAAAAAAAAAAAATGTTTTCAGAAGTGACATGGCTGTGAAACAGCTGAGCCAGAATCTGAATCCTCATCTCCCTTTTCCAAAATCCGTGCCCTTCCCATTACACCAGGTACCAAACGAATTAAAGGAGGCTGAAGTTGTTCTTTGGGCTACATTAAGAGTTCATTTTTTTATGTGGCTGAAAATCTAGAGGTGTTCCCAGTTAAAGGCTAAGGTGAAGACAAGAGGCAGGGAGACCACTGTCTCTGCCTTTGATTCAATAATTAAGTTTTCTGGACCATAGCCACATTGTGATGACCAGGGATGTTCCAGCTGCCACTTGGCACCTGCCATTGAGAACACAGACATCTGAGAATAATGGGCCACCATCAGGAGTTGGGTTTAAGAACCTTTCAGTGAAGACTCTGCCCTTCTCTGTTTTCTTACTTATGGATGTATGTAATATATATTTCCAAGTTTCCTTAGCATAACACTGAAAAACCTCATGGAATCTTCAAGATCAGCCAAATCAGATGAAATGAAATACTATTGTATTCACTCTTCAGTATTTCAATGGAAGTTACTTAAGTAATTTTTGTTAAATCCCATTAATTGTATTTCCCAAGGCTCTTAAACCTTACTTCATTCTGGTTATAGCCTTGCCAAGGACTGTTCCATCAAGGTCACCCTCCTAGGAACAGGGTAGTGGTTTAACCCTAATACTAACCAGTTCTGAAGTGAAAAGGAACCAGGAGGGCAGAGGGTGGGCAATAGGGCACTTACTGAGGGACCCCACATAAGATGACTAAGATCATCCTCTGGTTTCTCTGGGCCCCTGTATTCTCGCCGCAGAATAGAATGAATCCCAGAATTCATCCCAGCTAAACAAGAACTATATCCCAGATGGATATTTTTAAAATCTGAATATTTCATCCTTTGGTTCTTCTGCTTCTGCGGGCATCTTGAGCATAGACTGTTGATAAAAGATGTATTATTTTCATCCCTTGTGTTATTTATTAAATAACTTGGGTGATAGCTGAGAATGGAGAACTCAAACCAGTTCCTCCCCACTGTTTGCCTTGGAATAAGAAAGCCCTTCAACTCTGGTTTTTGTAGAAGGTCTATTGCTGTAGTTATGAATGACACACTTCCAAGATGGAACTTGGTGAAAGACTGCCATTACGTTTCGCAAGATGCAATAAAGAACGAAGAGAGCTTTTTAATCCCTTGCCTTGCATTTTAAGTATCAAATTATGAGACTCCTGAACGCTAATTGGTTTGTGGCCCTGCGTGGGTAATAAATAAGTCTGGGTTTGCTAAATATGTGTATCGTTCAGTTCGTGATGATTTAGAACAGACACGATCAATTACAATTGAATGTGAAAGTCAAATATGGAGTTTTAGAGTTGTTTCAGCTTTTTCAGAAGTAAGCTTCTGCTTTCAACTAAGTGTTCATTGAACTCACTGTATTATCTCTTTACCTCCTGCGACTTTGTATCACGTAAAATCCCTTTACTGGAAAGTCTATCAGCTGTGGGTAATAATAATTTGCTGAGACTGCCTTTTTATAGACTACAACTTTTAAAATGCATTCAAAGCATTCCAGGGTTGCTTGGTGGTGGGCAATGTATTTAGGAATCACATGTGGCTGACGAGGCCTTGAGCTGATGGTAAGGGAGCAGAGAGCTTTTGGGAAGGAAAGGCCTTCAATCCTGAGTTTAAAGTACAGCGTAAGGACCCTATGTCAGATAAAGCCTGCTGAGCCGGTTAAATTCCTCAAGCTGGTAGGCCCTTAGGAGGATGAGCTGTCACATACTTGCTTAAGCGTTGTCCCCTTCCCTGTGTGGTGGGGAGAGCTGCTTAATGAGTGTCATTTCTTATGAATTTGGGCTTCGCTGGGCATGTCCAGGTTTAGCCTAGAAGCTTCCTTCGGATTTTGAGTGTGCCCTTTCTTCCTCTCTTTTCTGAGGTCACTTGGAGGATACCTCAAAAAAATTTTAAAACTCACCTAAATATACAGGTTCCTACTCACCCGTACACCCCCCTTTGTTCATCGTAGGTGCCACCAAACAGCTTTCCATGGCAGTCTCCTTTGCCATGCAGCAACAGCCTCCCCGCGACCTGCACGACAGGCCAGAGCAAAGTGGCAGCCTGGTTACAGGACTCGGAAGAAATGGACAGGTGTGCGGAAGGTTAGTCTGTCCCGCTCTGGGCTCCCAGGAGAAGCCGACAAAACCGAAATGAGAGCGGTAAATCACAGCCGCTGCACCTTGCCCCCTCCAGCCTCCTTGATGGCCTCCACATTTCTTTGTTCTTATTTTTCCACATGAGGCCCTGCCCCTTCCTGTGACCCCAGCTTCCCCTACCTGTACCTTCTCTCCCACTCTCACCCCTGCTATAACTGCTTCCGCCCTTCCCCGCCCTGCGCCCCCTTCCTCCCTGCAGGTTCACCTCACCACCTGCTCCCTTCTTTTTTCATGAGCTTCCCACTCCCCAGACTTGGGGACAATCCCATGGCCAAGCACAGCCCCCAGAGCGCCCCCACCTGGCTCTCCACTGTTGCTGGGTCCCTTCTCCAGCTGCCTCCTTTGCTGCTTCGTCTTGCCCTTGAACAAGCGTATGGCACCTGTCCTCCACAGTTCTCTGTCACTGGTGTTCCATTCTGCGTCCGTTGTTAAATATTCTGAACTCAGACACCATGCCCTCTCCGAGCTTCTTGCTCTCTAGAAACTTTGCTGCTCCCTTGTAATTCGCCTGAGCATTTTGGTCCAAACTGCCACAGACCATATCCATTCTAAGAGACAGTTTTCCTTTGACCTTCAAAACTGAGAGAACAAGAACAGCATAGCAAGTATTTAATATTGCTACATTGATTTAATTTTTTAAATTATTTTATGAAGATATGGGGTTAACTGATTTTTATTAAATCTTTTTTCCTTTATGAAATGATGGTGAAAGTAGATGTTAGAGTACTTTCTTATGTCCTCACTTAGAAATATTGAAATTGCAGGGCACCTGGGGGCTCAGTCAGTTAAGTGTGTGCCTTTGGCTCAGGTCATGACACCAGGGTCCTGAGGATCGGCCCCATGTAGGGCTTCCTGCTCAGTGGGGAGCCTGCTTCTCCCTCTCCCTCTGTCCCTGCTTGTATGCTCTCTCTTCCTCTTGCTCACTCTCTCAAATAAACAAATAACATTTTTATAAATAAATAAAAATTGAAATCGGGCAATACATATTGATCCCAACCACAAAAAATATTCTTTTTCTGCTCTGCATGTGCATGAACTCAATGTCTGCAGCATTTGGCTTAGCCCTTGCCACATCCCAAACTCAATCTTTATGTGAAAATATGATATTAAGAGGGATGTTATAAGCATAAAGCTGCCTTTCCATTAAGAGGGTTTTACCTGAACGTATTCACACACACAGACATTCCAGTATATGAGCTTCGGGTTGGGGAAAGAAGCCGGACCTTCACTTTCCTAAAATGCTGCGGTTTTTGCCTCAGCTGCCGTTCTCAACAGCTCAGCCTCTCCTCTAACTTCGCCGCCTCCTGCACACTCACAGCACGGAGCCTGGCCGCCTGCTTTGCTGAGCAGATTTGGAACCACACATGGGGACAGAATCCATTCTTCTGACCAAAATGAAGAGACATTGGCTCTGATGCCAGGAAAGCCCCTGGCTGGTGGGGGAGCGAGGGAGGCCTTTGTCTTTGTGTGCTTCAGAATACTCTGTGGCCTCTCCCTTGTGCCTTCTGTCCTGTCTCAGGGGTGCTCCTCCTTCTCCCCATCCTGCCTACTCCACCTGTGTCCTCCGTCCTGCCTTCCTGTTTCCTTCAGCATTCAGCGCAATGATTACCCTCTTCTCCCGGGGACAGCCTCTCTCTTTCATTCACTTCTGCTCTCTGCCCCTAGCCTCCAGCTTCCCTCCCTAATTTGATGTTTGCCCTTCCTGCTCTATGAAGATGGCATTCTTGGTAGCGAGGTGCCATCTGATTTCCACTCAGTTCTCAGACCTCATCCTCTGACCCGCCCTGTGGCCCCTTCTCTAATGAGACTTCTTCCTTAAGCCCCATGAAGTTTTCCCTTTTTCTTCAGCTTCTCTTTCCTGTTTCACTGGATTCTCCTCTGGTTGCCTTGGCTGTGGAGATGATCAAGGTTGAATCTTCTGCCTTCAGCTTCCATAAGAGTGACTGTAGTCGATTGGGTGCTCATTACGGACCAGACATTTTACATCCCTGTTTTTATGTAAATCCTCACAGTAGTACACAGGCAGGATTGTGAACCCTATTTTTAAAGACGGGCAACCCGATACTTCGGTGAAATAACTAGCTCATGTTACATAGCAAATACTTGGCAGGCTGCCGGGCTAACCCAGGCCAGCTAGATTCTAAGGACTGTGTTCTGCACTTTGGAGATGACAGGCATGGTCATAGTTTCAACTGAGAAGATCTCTGATACAGTGGTGATGGTGATGACGGGGAGGAGGGGGGCAGCGGGGGCTCACAGGTACCTGGCCCCATGCGACAGGAACTCTTGCGGGTGTTTTATATGCAGCAACTCATTCAGTCCTCTCAAGGCCATTTTACGGGTGAGAGAACGTAGGTACAGGGAAATCCGCTCACCTGACCAAGTTCACACAGCTAGCAACAGTGGCACTGGGGTCCGAGCATGGCCAGTCTGACTCCAGAGCATAGGTACCATATTCCTCTCAAAAAGGCCGACAGCTCTCTACATCTCAGCTCCGCATCCAGCCTGTGCCCCGATCCCACCGCCTCTCCTTGCTGGTGGCCCTGTCTGTCTGTACTCTCTGGCGTGCCCCCTCCTCGGCCTGTCTGAAGCCAGCCTCTGTCTTCTCCCTGAAATGGCCCCAGCCGCTGGGCTTCCCTGCTTTTGTCATTGCTGCTGTCCTAACAACCCCTGAGACCTCGGAGGATCTTTGATCCTCCCACCGTGTTGTTCATCCAGCCACAGCAGAGTTCTCTTATTTCTCCACAAACACCCGTGCCTTCCCCAGGCCCTCATCTGCCCTTTCTCTCAAGTCTCTGCCTCCTGACTCAGACCCAGCCTCTGGTGGGTCGGCAGCTCCCGGCTGGCTTTCCCCCACTCAGTCTCTTGCTCTGCTACTCTGTCTCTCACAGGCTCATGGGAAATTGCTGCTCTTGACCATGTTTGCAGCTCTGGGCCGGCAATTAGCAGCACTCAGCCACGAGACGTTAGGTGTATTATGCCTCCCCACTTTGCGGATGAGGAAAGCAAAATGCGTGCAGGTTAAGGAAAATGCCCAGGATTACACAGCTGCCCTGGGTGAGATGTTTGGCTAACCCCAAAGGCAGCCTTTTGTCCACTAGGACTGCTCCCTCGAGACTGGTATTTCCTTAAATAGCTTTTATGCAAAATTCCTTCACGGTTCTCCATGGGCTCTGCGGCTTGAGCCCAAACTACTTAGCCCGGCACTTAACGTCCACCTTCCAGCTTTCAGGCCCCACCTGCCCTTTCAACCTCGCTTTGCACTGGCCCCACAGAACTTATTTGCTGTTTCCTGAACATCCTTGCATATCCCCTTGTCTGAGCTTTGGCACCCCTCTGACCTTCTCCACTTTTGACTTTTACTCAATCCTTTCCATCAATCCTCCAGACCCAGAAAAGGTTTCCCTGTCTCCTTTACGTGTGCTCTGATGACTTCAAACCATGCTAACTCTATTTTCCAAACTCCCATGACACTTTTCTTTGGTCTCTCCTGACCATTTCATAGAGAGTTCCCACGATTGAAGTTTGCATTTCAGAAGCTCATCACATAGCATCTTCTGGAACTCATAGCATATCTGATTTACAGTTTTAATACTCAAAGTGGTAAACCATTCATAGATCTGAACTTATGTCAATCCAGATCTCCTCAAGTATGTAAGGGAATTGCTTGGCTCCCATGGAGACAAATTGTTAAATTAGTGTTCTGTATGCCACTACTGAAGATGCATACATAATTGTTTAACATATAGAATGTTTGCATATCTTTACCAGTATGTAAATTCCATGAGTCCTACTTGGTTGTGATAATCCCTGTACTTAGAACTATGCTGGGTATACAGCGTCTTCCATCAACCATACCTAAATGAAATAATAAATGGTTAACTTTGGATATACTTTAATTTATTTGTTTCTTTTTGGAACAAGCTAGGGTATGATGGGAAAATAAGTAAATTGCTAGAAAATAAGTAAATTGTTCACTGTTCTAAACTATCTCAGCAGTTTTTTTCTTGGCATAGTTTTTCTTTTTTCCACCTTTTCTAAAACTAGATTTCATCTTAATTTAAAGAAATTCTAGAGGTTTCTTTTTTTTTTTTTAAAGATATTTTTGTTGCCCTTGGCAAATCTTTATAACCCGTATGCACATCTAGACACTTAGGCGGCGAAGTCCTGCCAAGGGTTTCATCTCTTCCGCATTTCAAGCGATAGGAGTGGTGGGAACAGGCGTGGCCTCCTCCAACGGAAGGCCCCAGCAGCATGATCACACGTGGTACGACCTGTACGCACTGAACTTCCTCATCTACCATCACAGTTGCCACTCTAAGCCAGGAAGAAGAGAGGTATATGCTCCTGTCCCCAGGAAACGTGAAGTCAGTCCTTGTCTCCTGACTCTTAACTTTAGGTCTTTTGCCCTTGAATGAATTCATTTACAACGTTCTCTTTCCATTCTGTTAGGAAAAGGGTGGATATTATTGTGATGGTTTGAAGCCCCATTTCCAGATTTCCGCGCTACTTGTGTACACCATTTGTGTATGTTAGTCACACTTATTAGGAAGCGTGAAGGTAATAGTCACTAGAGAGAAGTCTCGATGGGTGGGTAATGTGAAATAATGTCCCTATTAGCATGGTGCTTATGATGCAGTTTTGTTCTTTAAAATGCAAATTAAGGGGTGACCACAAGGCTCAATGGGCTAAGTGGCTGGCTCTTGATTTCAGCTCAGGTCATGATCTCAGAGACCAAGTATGGAGCCTGCTTAAGATTCTCTCTCTCCCTTTCCCTCCGCCGCCCTCCCCACCCCACCCCAATCATGCACACACCTGCTGTCTCACTCTAAGATAATAATAATAGGGCACCTGGGTGGCTCAGTTGGTTAAGCGACTGCCTTTGGTTCAGGTCATGATCCTGGAGTCCCGGGATTGAGTCCTGGGTCAGGCTCCCTGTTTGGCAGGGAGGCTTATTCTCCCTCTGACCCTCCCTCTTCTCATGCTTTCTCTCTCTCATTCTCTCTCTCAAATAAATAAATAAAATCTTCTTTAAAAAGAAATATTTAAAATAATGATACTAATAATAAATGCAAATTAAAGGGTAGGCCCTTTCTAGCATATCTCCCTTCTTCTCTTCCCTCTAACCCTCCTTCCTGGCACTTTCTTTCTTTCTTAAGATTTTATTTATTTAGTTGACAAAGAGAGACATAGCGAAAGAGAGAACACAAGCAGGGGGAGTGGGAGAGGGAGAAGCAGGCTTCCTGCCTAGCAGGGAGCCTGATGTGGGGCTTGATCCCAGGACTCTGGGATCATGACCTGAGCCAAAGGCAGATACTTAATGACTAAGCCACCCAGGCACCCCTTTCTTTCTTTCTTTGCATGACTTTCTTCCCTCCTAACTTTCCTTTCATCCTCTATTTTCTACCCTCCTGAGCCACTTTTGTTTTCTTAGGGAAGAAGATGGGGGCCCGGGGGGTACAAGGGCATGACCTCCCTCCCCTGAAGGTGGAGGGGGTGGTGGCAGGTGCCGTGTTCATTAGTACAGTCCTCCCACCTCCACTGGGTTCCCTCTCTGAAGGAATGGCTACTGGTGGTCAACAGTTCTTGGAAGAACAGAAGTAGTGTTTGAACACCCCACCCAGACTCCATCCCGAGGCAGGGGAAGGGACCTGGGGATGGCCTGGCCTGAAAATTGCATCTACCCTGTTCTCCACAGAGCATGCAGTGATTGGGAGTCCTGGAAAGATCCTTGTAGCAGTTACTCCTCCATTTTTATATCCAGTGAAGAAGTCAAAAATCCCCCAAACACAATTACCTATGTTATTTGGCCCAGCGTATCTTTAGCCATATTTCAAGATTGATTGATTGATTTGAGAGAGAGAGCACGAGCAGGAGGATGGGGAGAAAGAAAGGTAGAGAGAGAATCCAAAAGCAGACTCCCTGCTGAGCATGGAACCTGACACAGGGCTCGATCCCAGGTCTCTGAGGTCATGACCTGAGCCGAAACCAAGAGTCAGCCCCACTTAACCAACTGAGCCATCCATGAGCCCCTAGCCATATTTAACAGCAATATTTTGCTGCCTATACTGTATATGTAAAAATTCAGATCTTTGAGAGTTAATGAGAAACAAATGATATAAATGAAATTTTCACCAACTGACCACATATTATAACCACCTTGTTTATATATAATAGATTTATAGACGTGCCCTATTACAGTCCCTTTATGAACAGTACACATGCAAAAGTAATCACATAACTACCGGCATGTTCTAAATATTTGATAATTGTATGAGTAATACTACTAACTCAATGTTCTTGACTGTATTTAATTTTCATATACTAAGAGTTCATTTTTAAGAGTGGTATTTTATTATAAAAATCTTCAAAATTTTTGTTTTGTTCAAATAAAGCTAAAAATTAAAAATAAAATTAAAAGCCATTTCTTCATGAAACATTAATTCAAACAGAATATGTTTCATGCCCGGGTGACTCTGACGCTGCTGGGCCAGGGAATCTGAGAATCTTTGGTTGTGTTTAGTATAACAGCCCTCATAAATTTTTTTTTTTTTAAGATTTTTTTTTTTATTTGAGAGAGAGAGAGAGAGAGCATGAAGGGGAGGGGTAAGAGAGAGAGGGAGAGAGAGAACACACACAAGCAGGGGACCACAGGCAGAGGGAGAGGGAGAAGCAGACTCCCCACTGAGCAGGGAGCTGGATTTGGGGCTCCATCCCAGGACCCCAGGATCATGACCTGAACCAAAGGCTTACGTTTAACTGAGTGAGCCACCCAGGCGCTCCATCCCTCAAAGATTTTTTAAAAATCACTCATTGCAACATAGTTAGTGATAGAAATCATAGATGAAGTTGTCTGCTTGACTTTGCATTCCATCTTGTTTTTCTGAACTTGACTTTGACTCCATCCAAATTCTAGTCATCAACCTTGTAAACTATTGTAGGAGTAGGTAAACTGGTTCCTAAGAATAAAACCATAAAACTACTGAAGTTCCCTTGTGGTTTCTATGTAACAAGGGCCCCCTGAATAGGAAAGTGAGAACACACAAGGTCACTGAGATTGTAATAGCTAGCTCTCAATTCGTAGGTAGGCTTTCAACTCATTTAATAATCAGTGCTTTTTTCGGGGGGGTGACCCTAAAAACAGGAATTTAGCTACAATCTTCAGATCACCCTTATAATGTGTTATGGGTCCATTTTTCCTGGAATAACTTAAACTGAAGCAGTTTCCCCTGTTTTGGAGATTTTGTAGTTAATTTTAATTTTGGCTATTGTTTGAAAAAGGTGGGCTTTCTTTGTAGATATGAAATATAGTTTTTCCATAAAATAGGTGTTTATGTTATATTAAAAATACCACTGTTTTTGTTTTACATCATTTGTATACATGTGGTGATAGTCATGCTGGACTGTAAAATTCAGGAATTAAAATGTGACCCTGTAATTCTAAAAAAATCACCATCATCATCATCATCAATGCTTTTAAGTTTCTAAACCAGAGAAGGTTCTGTTTTGTTTCATTTGCCAGCACCATCATTATATAAGCATGGATCTGCCTAATCATACTTGCCATAATTTGTATTGTCTTTTGTTACCATCACTGCCCATCCCTGCCCAGTTCTAACATATTCTTCTTTCTGATTTTTCTCAGACCTTGCACACTGCCAGTCAAACCTCGTGGAACTTAGCAAGCTCCTACAAAATTTGGAAATACTTCAGAGAACTCAGTCAGCACCTAACTTTACTGACATGCAGGTAAACATCACCGAGAGGACTTTAAAACATTAATGCAGGATTTTTACTGGATTGTTTTATGAATATATTCAGGTAACATTTAAAGGGAAAGAACTATAGCACAGATTTTTTTATATTCTGGAGTTAGTCTTAATATTTTTGAATTCTTGGATTTGTTGTGTTAAGGTGTCTATTTTGAAATATTTCACATTTAAGTACAAACTAATAGAAATAAATATCTGAATTATTCTTCCATGTGTGTATTGCATTAGAATTGATAGGTCTGAAGATATAACATATATATAGAGAGAGAGATTTTGAAGATATAACTTAGATACTCTCAGAATTACTGCCATCTTTTTTTTTTAAAGATTTGTTTGAGAGAGAGAGAGAGAGAGCACACATGTGCGAGTTGGGGAGAAGGGCAGAGGTAGAAGGAGAGAGGAGAGAGAGAGAATCCCAAACAGATTCCCTGCTGAGGATAGAGCCTGTCTCCGGGTCTGGATCTCACGACCCTGCGATCATGACCTGAGCTGAAATCGAAAGTCAGCCACTCAACCCACTGAGCCACCTAGGAGCCCCGCTGCCATCTTTTTATGTAGGGGAAAAAATGCTAAAAAGCTCTTACCCTGTTTTCCTTTTGTATAGCAGACAAGTATATTTTATGATTAAGTTCTTATTTCTGCTTTTAATGCCCACTGTACATCAGATAGGACTTTTTCTCCTGGCTGGTTTGCTTTAGGGGGCTAACAACCATTCTTTACTAACTGGCTGGGCTCTTTGTCTGTATCTGTATCACGTGTGTGAACCGACTAATACTTTGTTGCTTTTAACTATTTGTGTAATGTAGGCTAACTGTGTAGATATTTCAAAGAAAGACAAGCGGGTCACAAGACGATGGAGAACAAAAAGTGTCAGCAAAGATACAAAAATACAACTACAGGTACAGACTTTACGTTTCCTTCATTCATATTTTTATAGTTTCCTTCATTCATATTTTTATATGCCTTTAAGATATTAGTCTTTATATATCAGTTTGTGGAGGTTAGGAAGTCTAAAGCGGTTGACCTGCTTTAAAGCCAGTGTTTTACAGACTGAGTTGTAAAATGCTAAAATTATTTGAAAGAGTACATAGTGGGATTTTCATTCTCAATACCTTTGAACTGTTAAAATATAATTTAACAAAAAATTAGCTTAAAAATCAAGCTAAAAATCCAGTGTGTTGTAATGAGCACTCATTTATACGTACTGGCACTCAAAAAAGCCTTTTATGTATTAGCTTTGTCCAAAATTTTATGTATCAATAAAAAGGCATGAGGGCTGCAAAAGATTCAAAGTCAGCAAACTCAGGTTCTAGGCTAATCAACTGTGATTTCCTGGCAGTATAATCTTGTGCATTTCTGTTAAGTTTTCTAGGCTTCCATTTGCTCCTGGGTAACGTGATAGAGTTAATTTAATGATCTCTGAATTCCCTTTCAACTCTAAAATTATATGATTCTTCAAAAATAGATATAATTTGGCCATCAACGATCACCTAAAAATCTGAATTATGAAAGTCTTAATGACTCATGATAAATTTACTTGAAATTCATTTTAAATAAGTTATTTTTTGAAATGAGCTGTTTGAAATTTTTAGAGTAGTTTGAAATGTTACATTAGTGCATTGCAATGATATGAAATATGGTAAATGCCTGAAACCTCTTATGTCATAAATCATATTACTTTCAGATCTTTAAATAAGAATGTTTACTACTCTGATCCTTGCTGTCTGTTATTAAAAAAAAAAATTCTTGCCCTGCACAATCAAAATCAGACTCAGGATTTTGCTTTTCTTTTATTACACTATAAATCAATTTACATTCTAATACAAAGGAAAAGGAACTCTTTTCCAGAATTCTGCAATATTTTCTGAATAAGTAATAATTCTTTAATTCTGATTGTATTGATGTGCTTTGTGTTGTAATTCTGAACGTGTAAATAACAAACTCTTTGTTGCTTTGCTATGCTTGCTAACCTGATATATTTGAAATAAATTCCATAAGCACTAAAGATTCATGTTTTTCTGGTTAGAATGTCTACATTCTGTGAACACAATTTATAGCGTTTCTTCAATAGGTATGTTTTTGTGTGTTCTCTTCAGAACACTAATACCATAGAGACAACTGTGCCAAATGACTTCCCCAGAAATTTACGTAAAAGTCCTTTTGGCAGTTTCATTTTTGGGGGGCATGTGATTGTCTAGTTTTTGGGGGCTTTTTAAAATATAACTATGGTTATCATAGCTAAGGAAAAAAACAATTATAAAAATAATTGAAGGAGGCCAGCGTTCTAAGAACATACACATTTGTGGACAGATATTCGTTCAGTCTTGTTTTTATTAGGTATGCCACTGAACAGATTGCTGTTCACAGCTGTTGTCTCGAACAGGCTGGCACGTCCTCAAGAACGTGAGCGCTGTGCCCCTGGCCAGCCTGCGGTGGCTACAAGGTCCACCGTGGCCCTCATATCACTCCGTTGTTTCCAGAGGGAAGAGACGGCAGCTAGAATAGCCCTTCTAGTCACAGGCTGTGCTTTTCCATATGAGGAATGTTTAGGGAGACCTTTTTTTGAGTCATCAGAAGAGATTGTTCAAAAAGTAGGGAAATATTTTTCGTACATACTTCTGCCAAATATTTGGGTAGTTTTTTTTTTTTAATTTTTATTTATGCTCTTTTGCTTGGTTTTTGTTTTGCCAAAGTGCAGCAAGATGGCCCTTGTGATTCTAGTTCAGTTCTTTTCGAGGGAAATCGAAATCACCTCTTCCCCACACTCAAAGAAAACTTTAAACTTCTGAAAGTGATCCCAACTCCAAGTGGCGATCAGTAGACTTGGGGGTGGCAGTGAACTATTTATTACTCCCTGCCTCCACTTGGACTGGTGAAGCAGAAGGTATTGTAGGGTGAATTTTGTAGACTTTGGTATAATCCCTGCACCTTTTCTGCTCACCCAAACCAACAGGCTGTCACGGAGCCCTTAGAGTGCTCATTCTTTCTTAGTGGGAAGTTACTTGGAAGTTTCTTCAACATGCACACTTGGCTGGAGATCTGTACAATGAGCCAGGGGTGCCTATGACCCATATAAATGTCTTTATTTGTCATTATTTTCCTCATAGGAGGGCATCACATTTATTTTTACTTAGTGGATTAAACATACCTCCTATGTTCTCCCACCCTAATACACAGGTTTTTCCCTCCTCGACCCTAGAAGTCCCATCTGATGGTGCCGAGTGTTTGTTTTGAGCCCATAGTCATCTCACTGGTTGGGCCACCTTCTCTATGCCATTGTTGAGGCCAACTTGAGAGGCTTTGCAGTGAGCGGCCCGCGGCTCATCCCCTCTGCTACTGGTAACCTGGAGTTACACCAGCCATTTGTGGAGGAACCTAGACTGTCCTGTGGTGGTCCTGGCGGTTATTGTTGTGACTGCTGTTCTTAATGATACTGTTAAAGCGAACTTGGCATCCAGCATTCTGCCGTAGTTGTTATTTTGAAATAACTTTTAAATGAATCATTTAAAAAATTGACCCCAGGAGAGTAGAAATGAAGAACGTGTTGTACTAGATGTTTAATTGCTCATTCTTAATGCAGGTTAGAGTGTGTTATTGATTTGAATATGAAGGTTACATTTTAGATCCGCGTGCCCGTATTTCCACTAGAAGCCATTGAGAAGCCAGCCTCTGCAAGCCTTTTGTGTAACTCATTGAAGGCATTGGTCCTAGAAAGCTCTCTGGAGATTAACTTTTAGAAAAAGACTTTCTCCCAAAGTTCAGATTTCTGCTTCTAATAAAAATCTCATTATCATCATTACATAGTAACTGTTTGACTGTGTTTCCAATGAGGTAGAGGAGGGCAAGAAGGAATGATTGTTAAAGGGTTGCTATCAATGAGAGAGCTGCTAGGTTTCCTGCAAGACGAATAGCACAGATTAATACTAGATCCCTAGTTCTTGGAAAGAATGGCAATAGCAGGAACCATGGTCAGATATCATTCATGCATAGCTGTCCTAGATCTCACAGATGCTCAAATCATACTGAAAGGGAAAAATAAGTTCTTTCTCCTTTTACTTACTACATTAAGCATGAAGAGATTTTGTACAGAAAAATTTTTGTGGAAAACACATCATATATGTATGTGTGTCTACAGTAAACATTTACATAATGCATGCAGAAGACAGGAACGTGGAAGAGAAATGTGAATGTTATGGGGAAACTTTGAAGAGAATTGGAGTTCTAAGAATTTAAAATATTTTTCCATTGTTCCGAAAAGACTAAAGCAGTTGTGCTGCTTTTGCTTAATCTGCACTATTAGGTGACCCTAAGTATGTCTCAGTTCATTGGAATTGAACTTACCGTTCACAACCATGAAGAGGGAGGGTCTGTCAAAGGGACAGATGGAAACTTGAGTAGTTAGAAGGAAATGTCATTATCCCATGATCCTGTCCACCAAAAAAGAGGCAAAAAAGAAAGCTCTCAGCTTCTCTGCTGGTTTCCGCATAGGTGCACATCATTGTATGAAACCTCTGCTTTCAGGTTTCCCTACTTGATTTCTGCAGGCATTGTCCCAACACGCTAAGCATAGTGAGTGCTCTTTCCCCTGTGCTATGCAGACTGGCTTCCTCCTTGGAAAATTCTCCAACCTCAAAGTCACAACACCATTCCTAATGTTGAATCCCAGAGAGCTTTCTAGTAGGGGAATAAATGGGATGTTGAAGATTCCCGGTACCCTTCCCCCTGGACTTTTCCTCCCAGCAAGAAAGAAAAAAAATTCTGCCTGGCTAACGGGAGACTCCCATTACAGCTTGTTTGTTTTAGCCTCTGCACCACATTATTTAATCGTTTTTTTCCTGAACTTACTTTTATCTTTGCTTCCATTGATTGAATGCCTTTGATTACATATGACATAAAGGAAGGAAACAATGTACATATTTATTTAACTTAAGATCGCAAGCTATTATACATCAATCCCTGACTTCCCATCTCCTTTTGTGGTGGGGTCATATTCAGCAGCTAGACATCAGTGTCTGGAGTTCTGCAATGAGGACAGTGAGCTTTTCTCCCAGTGTGAGTGGGAGAAACTTTTCAATGCTGCAATTTAGGGAAAAGTCAACTCCACTTAAAAACTCTCCCTTTCCCTTGTCTGATTATCTTTCATTCTCCCACATCCTGTCCCCCCCCTCCCCTGCCCCTCCCTCTCTCCTCCCTCCTCTTCTCTCATTCACTGTCAGGAAGGGCCATCTGCGAAGGGCCAGTTCAGCACCACTCGGCGCCGGCAGAGGCTAGCAGCAGCAGTGGCTACAACAGTGAGTGGATTTCAATCTCAAGTGGACATTGACTAAGAATGAGCAGCTTGGTCCGAGTGGCGCCTCCCCTGTTCCCGTGGTGCAGTCTGTGTGCGGTGGTCTCGACCGTAGCCCCCTCCTGTGCTGGTGTAGCTTTCGCATGTTGTCTGGCTGTCTCTGCATGGCAGGTGTCGCACACGGGTATTTGTGTTTTCGGTGGAAAATGACCCCTTAGCCCCATTCTTCACTGACCATGTAAGTGATAATGTAAATGCCAGGTGGCAGAACTGAGTATGGCTCCCTGTGGTGTGGAAGTTCCTAAAATGATACATAAATATATATAGTTTTTTTGTTATACTGATATTGGAACCTCTGCTTACTGATTTCTGTTTTTCTAAGAAAAGTCATGTTACTACAGACAAAAATTGTGCTTTTTTTTTTTGTAGCATTGTGACTATTTGAAAAGGATGTGAGAATAAAGAAAAGAGAGGGTAAGAAAAGGTGAATTTTGATGTCATCTCTAAATGACTACCCAAATTACATCTAGCAAGGAAAAATTTTCTGGAAAGAACATTGAGCGGAAGGTCAGAAAATATGTAGTATGGGAAGGAGAAAACCACCAAGTTAAATGGTGTTTATTATACATCTAAGGTTTATTAGGAGGGTAGAACAAGTGTTGAAATAGCTAAGGCAAATAACCACAATTTTAAATTGAGTAGAAGCTGTTTAGAATAGTGAACGGTGCATGCACAATAGGAAAGAGAATGTGCAAATACAAGAACCCTTTGCTGGATAAAAGCAAATTGTAGTATTTGCTTAATCATGACATCTCCCGTCAACTTTTTAAAATGCGAATACTAAGTTTATAGCAATCATGGATGTTAGTTTTTTTTGGCTGTTAGTATTTTCTGAATTAACAAGCGTTTTGCTCTCTTGCTCATGGTGGAATATAATTAAAGACTATAATTGCTGAAAAATACGAAGAGGTTTTGCTTGCATTGTGAGAGAATGGCTACTCATGAGAGGATTATTGCTTTTCTACTTTTGATTAAAAACTGACCCTTGCTTGGTATCTCACTGCTTAGCTGGATTTTGTGAGAGAGAGAATGGCCTTTGATTATGAAATGAACCAGAGGCTTGGAGTTTATTAGGGAATGGATTCTTAAACTCACAGTTTTGTGAGCACTTGAACAAATTCATGAAATTCATATCTCAATTAGTGTTTATCTTATGCATGTATGTGTAACATATGACACTGACATTGGGAACAGATTATGCCAATAGAGACATGTAAAATTAAGTTGTTCTTAATCTTTCATTTATAAAATTAAGAAATCCAGATCATTATCAGAGAACAGTATCACAGTATGGAAAGGAAAGATCAGTGATTTTGTGAAAATACCTATATTTCTTTAAATAATGTACTTCTAAGAAGGCATGCAGGGAAGCGATTGTGTTTCTACTGTTTTCATTTTTTAATTGTAGATACATATAATGAATATATAAAAGTGGGATTAAAATCTATTTGAACAGAATGGGTATATATATATACATATATATGTATATATTTATTTATTTATTTATTTATTTTTAAATGGGAATTGGAAAAGAAAAAGCTTTTAAAAGAGGAGAGTATTAATGCCCATCTCCCAGTGACCACAGAGGTTAAGAATAACTTCCAGTAATTCCAAGCATCTCATGAGAAAAGTTGGCAACATTTAATAATGTATTCAGAAATAACTAGAGGGAATAGTTACTCTAAACCCTGTAGGATTTGTAGCTTTAACTCCATAGCAAAGCATAAAACCATGTAGCACGACCTTGAACTTGCTGCACCAGCCCCCTCACCCCTTCATTCACACCTCAAGTGATTGGACGCTGGTGACTCAGCCCCCCTATTTCTCTTGGTGCAGTGTTCCTCTTAATTCCCACCCTCCTCCTTCCCGACACTAAGTGATCCCATGCATTTTGAGCCCATCCAATCCAGCTCGGTGCCTTTTACCTAGAATATTGCAAATGACTCCTAGTTGCTTATTTTCCTCCAGTGAGGAGGAGACCCACTCAAATATCTGGGGCAGCTGAGATTGCTCCCAAAGAAAAGTGCTCCCAAAGCAGATGTTTCAGAGATTGATTCTTGTGGATTCTTAGCACTAGAACCCAAAATGGCTCACACCCAACACCAGCCAGACCCAACAGAGTAGGGGGTTGGGAAAAGACACACTGGCCCCTCTGCCACAGAAGAATGCCGAGGGTCCCAATGCAATTAGTTCTCTACACAAGGATCCCTATACACATCACACAGAGGAATTGCAGCAGGAGACTTTTCACATTGGCTCCGTACGTTATATATGCTCAGTATCTCTCTTAGCTCTGCTTTTGTGTGTTCCCTTTCTCATTCATGTCTACCATTGCTAAATTTGGGTGCCACTGTTCCACTGTTGATCCATGTTTCTCTTTTAACTTCTCTGTAGACAGGTGTTAAAAGCACCTCCTATCATCCCCATTCCGAGCTGCAGTTATTAGTATCAGAATATTCCAAGATCAGGCTTCCTCCCTGGCACAAGATTTCAGGGAAGCCTTGGACTTTGTTCCTAAGTGGGGTGTAAAGGCTGCATCCAATATGGAGGAGTCTCGAGTGCAAACAGTGAGAACTGTGGACAGCTCCCACTCTAGCCATCACGGACAGAAGACCTAGCTATGACTTACATTTTTTAATCCCATTGTACCCAAATTGATGAAGAAAAAACTGAGTAAATAACTCTAATTGAATGAAGCATTCAATTAAATTAATACATCTCCATTTGTATTCTCAATTTCATTTCATGAATTCTTCAATTAAAATGACCCATTCCATATACTTCTTTTAACATAAATGGTAGCAATATAAACATTTTCAGTCAGAAGTATATAAAAACTGGGTTCAATTGCCCAGGGAGCTGTCTGATTGCAGTTTGAGTGGAGCATTCCAAGTCCCTTTCCCTGCGGGTTATATACAAGATCAGTTTTACTGTTTTAATTGCCAATTTAAACTTCATTATGTTCAAAAAAATAAATGTGTAACATGTGTTTTTCCTCTTAGTGTCTGATTCCAACTTTTAATAGACAGGCCATTATCTCAGGGACAAGTCTGGGTCCTCACTGGCATGTCTGGGCCTCTACTGCATCATGGCCTCCCCCAGCCTCCATACCTCCTCTCCTATTTCGTGCCAGTCCTTGGAGTGGTGAGGCCACTAAATGCAGGCAAAACCCTTTTCCATGAACCTCAACACATTACATTCCCCATTACCAGATACCCACCATTTCTTTTTATGCTCTTCTAGTTCTTTGTGTTTGAAAACCATATCAAATCCTTAAATCTGCACACTTCCTGATTCTGCCCATTTCCTCAAGTCACAGTTTCTCCCCATGACTTTCTAGTCTTCACCAACCTTCCCATGGATTCTCTGTGTCCCTCCCAAAAAGCTAAGGGCTCACTGCTGTGTCTAGATTTAGCATCACCACAGTTAAGATCAGAAATTCCCTTTGTCTATCCTCAAATATTCTTCCAGAATATATCTGGATCCTTTATAGGGACCCCCAGAAGACCTCAGTCATTATTATCACAGAGTTCCCTGGATTCTACCACATTATCGAACCCAAGGACTTCGTTTTCTCAAATGGTTTCTCTGCCACTTTTGTGTCTTTTCTCTAGAGTAGCCCAAAATTCTGATCCTGATGAGATAAACAAGTTGTTGACATGTCCGCATTTCAGTGTAGCCAAGGTCCCTGCAGAGGACCAGATAGACCCACTTGATAACTCCAGATACCAGATGCTTTGGATAACCTATAGTAGCGTGCTTAGCATAACTGATTTAGGGAGAAAGCTTCATGCTCACTGTTCCCCAGTAAGCCTTGGATATCTTTTGAGATAATAACTCCTTGCCACCGCTGTGGCCAAGCTATATCCAAAGGGCGCCCCTCCAGTCTCAGCTACCCTTACCCAGGTCCGTAAACTGCAGTTCAGCCTGGATTTGTTGGTTCTCTCCCAACTCCTCCATCTACCCTGTGTATCCTCAGTACACAAGTACAAGCCCCTTTTCCCGTTCTCTCTCTCCCCACTCTTCACCCCTCTCCCACTCGCTCTCTCTTCTTCAGTCAGGAAGTTTAAAGCTCTATCAAAATAGGAAAAAAAAAAAAAAAAGGAAGTGGTTCTGATACACATCTACATCAGATAGGCATATTTCCTGCTAGCTAGGCGTGAATTACCCCTTAATGTATATAAAATTCAGCTTGGGGAGGAGTCTTAAGAGTGATTCTTGAAGATAATTGAAAGAACATCTGTGCAGTAAGAACTAGGGGAGGTTACTCGTAATCTGATTTACAATAGGAATTGGTGTTCTCATTTTTTGGGAATGTTTGGCCAATGGCGTTTATAATGGTTAGGTGTAACTTCTAGAAGGAGAGGGAATGGTGCTTTACCCCCACCCATCACAAGCCTAGCCCAGATTCGGGGCAGGCAGGAAAGTATCTGCAGCCATTTGGGAAAATCTATAGTAATATGACTTTTTTTACTTACTGCTTTTCAATATTGGCCATTTCGTAAGCCATGTTCGTATGTGTACCAGTGTTGTATGTAACGTACAAAGGTTAAATGACAGTAATTTATATCATATATATTTCATTTACAAATATATTTTAATAAATCAATTTCAGATTTAATTGAGTCTTTTTAAACCATGATTATATTTATTGTTAAACCTGTTTATGTTTTATCCCATGGCCACAGAGCAAGTAAATCTTTCTTGTATTTTTTACCTGTTTGGTGAGTTCCTACTCTGTGAGCATAAAAAGTCCTCTGCCACTAGTACCCAGACTTTGTAAGAGTTCCAACTACTGTTTCCTGCCAGTGATTTTTTAGCTCCAACTGTGGGTTCAGAGCAAAGCTTATCTGGGATTCTGCCTTTCCTGCCTGACATTCTGTAGTCCTCTCTCCCTGTAGCAGGCAAAAGCTGGCGGAGCCTACAGCAGTCCTAAATCTGCTTTCCGAACCGAGACTCCTTCCCACCCCAACCACCTGCCAACTAAATGGGTTCTAAGTGTCTCTGGGTGTGTCATTACAAAGGAACCTAGTATTTTGGAGAAGGGACGCCATCTTTCCTGTGTGCGAGAATGTGGACCAATGTACTGTTGTTCTTTCCTAATTTGTGCTGTCCCCTTTCAGGTCCCTTTCAGTGCTACCATGTCACCAGTCCGCTTGCACTCCTCCAACCCCAACCTTTGTGCAGACATCGAATTTCAGACTCCCCCTAGCCACCTCACTGACCCTCTGGAAAGTTCGACAGATTATACAAAGCTTCAAGAAGAATTTTGTCTAATTGCACAGAAAGGTAACAACAAATATCAGGTGCCCTTTAGAGACGCTCTCTTCTTTGGTGAGAGGTTATTGTTTACTCTTCAATCCTTGTCCAGGTGGTCGTGGTAGAAAGACTAAGTAGTGTCTCTACTGATCGGAGTCCTAGATACAAAATGCAGTGAGGTGTGATGCCTGCCTTTTGGTTCACAGTTTTGAGTGGAGAAACAAAGTCTCGTAAGGGAGGGAGAGAGGAGGAAAGACACAAAGGGTTATCCTAGGCAGACCAGCAGACACTATGACTCAACATTTCTTTTTCAGTGTCTTTTAGTTCTCATTTAATACAGACTGTGGGTTATCCTTAGCAAAGAGTTCAGTGGCAAATGTTCTTTTCCGTTATTAAATAACACTCCTTGATCATAGCTCAGGCTCAGTCCTGTGTCGTGTGACGTGGCCCGGCCTCCGTGCTATTCGGCTGGAGGCTGGGCTGGGCTGAAAGATCCAAGGTGGCTTCACCCAGGTTCCAGGCATGTTGGGGGGATGGCTGCAGGGGTGCACACAGCTGTGTCCCTCTCCGTGACAGCTCAGGGCTCCAAGGGAGTGGATAAGCTGCCAGTTCTGTTCACTTGGCACAGTGTCACTTCCTCTGCCCTCTATTGGCCAGAGCTTCATGGGCCAGTTCAGATTTCAGGGGAGGGGTAATTGAGCCCACCGGGGTGTGGGGGGGAGTCCCTTTTTCCATATTAAATTCCAGTAAGGCATGTCGTGTAAGTTCAGGTGTTATCAGCCACAGAGAGCAGGGTATAATAAATAAGAGGCAGGTAGTAGCTTGTAGGTGGACTGAGCAGTCCTGTCTGTGTTTACCAAGAGCCTGGATTCCAAATTACCACCCCGCCCCTGCTTTTGCTATAGCATTTCAATTTCAGTTGCTGATATTCATGTTTTGATTCAAGATAGTACCTTCCCAGACATTCTCTTTGAAAATGCATACTCTCTTGAAGAAAGATACACATTTTGTGGTTTTCAGTCATTAACACCTTATTGTGAAATAGTCCCATTTATTACCCTGAGGCTGTTGGTAAGAGATGATAAGATATTCTTGAAAATGTGTTGTAAATGGAACATCTCATGTGCCCCCATAATGCTCAAGAGCCTGGTGGGTCAGGAAAAAGACGAGACATACACTGAGAACATCTCTAGGAATGTTGAAATCAACAAAATTTCATACTCTCAAACCATCATCATAGATGTTCTATCAGATATTTCTTTAATTCTGTAATCATAAGCTAAATCATTTTGCCCCCACCATTTTTTCTCTGAAGATTTCTCAGTGGAGATTCTATAAGGCCAACTCTCTTTCACCTGCAATTTTACTTCTCATACATTTTTATTATGTTTCTTAGCCAGATACTAATTATACCATTAGACGAGAGGAGTATTATTTTCTTTATATAACAGCATAGGATTACGGCCAGGAAAGTCTACTTCTAACAGCAGGGGGACAAGGGGGCGGTTGTAGAAATAGGCAAAATGAGACAACAAATGTGTGAATGAAGTATGTATAGCACAGCCTCTCAAGGGAGATGAATAAATTAGAAAGTGGCCCCAGGAAAGCTTTGTGTATTCGGTTACAATCCTGAGGTTTTCAGGAAATCCATGTTTCAACAGGATTTTAAAGCCTCTGTTGAAACAACGTATTTTCTTTCCAACTATGCTAAAAAAAGGGGGGCTTTTCTATGACTATGAGCAAACTCTTTAGAAAGAATTATGATTTTAAAATGTCTGCGTCTGCTTTTAGAACGGCCAGTGGGGTTAATGTATGCCAGCTTTCAAGTTAGTACCTTTAAATCAATGATGACTAGAATGTGGCACATAAATCAATCCCTTGTGATCCCACCATTTTTCCCCTCTTCATTCAGGCCTGTGTTTTTTGCTAAAATTTTCTACTTCTTTTAAAAATAACTGTTCTCGAATATGGAAATCCCTAGTTTAGCAGACTTTGCATATTATAGAAACTGCTATTATAAAGATAGGAATTGGAAATCCAACCTTCTTGCATTTCAGACTTTAAGACTACCTCCGATTCTACCAACGTATGTTATTGGGTACACAGAAATGGGCGGGGGGTGTTGTTTTTACGGTGGTTTTATTTTGTTTTTTATAGCTTTCTCGAGATATGATAAACATAACATTTAACAAGTTTAAGATGTACCTGTTGACTTGATACGCTTAAATATTACAAAATGATTACCACCATAGCATCATCAGCTAACACCTCCCTCATGTCATGTAATTGCCATTTCTTTTTTGTGGTGAAGACATGTAAGATCTACTCTCTTAACTTTGAAGTATATAATACAGTATTACTAACTATAGTCATCAAACTGTACATTAGATGTCCAGAACTTATTCGTCTCCAGCCTGGAAGTTTCACTCTTTGAATGCAGTGCTTACATCAAGATGTTCCTGGATGACAAAGCAATTCAAGTGCTATTCTCAAGACCAAATCATTTCCTACCTCAAAGAGAACTAGTCAGGACTTCTAAATCAGCTTCCTGTTTTATTTTGGCAGAATTTATAAAATGCTCTTTTTGGGTACCTGCTTTGGGGAAATAATATCTGGATAGTTCTAAATGATTTGCATGAGAATTCACTGTACACAGAACTGTTCAATTATTCTTATCATCCATGACAGAAGAAAACCTGTTGCCTTTTCCTTCTAGGAATTATAGATTAATTTTCTAAATCTTGATATTTAAGAATTGATATCAACATTTTATATCCTGCTTCTAAATCGTCTCAGGTATGAAATACCTCAGTTTTCACTCTGAGTAATTACTGTTACCATATGCATTTTGTGTATAGGTATTTTGGAAGATTCCGTTGTTAGGCTGACTTTTACCTAGACTGTAATATAATCCTTCCAGATAATGTCTACCCATGAGTTAAAATGCTGAAAAATTTGTAATTTTATATATTCTTCCTAGATCCATATGATCTTTGTTTCTCATTTTTTTCACCACCCAGTGCATTCTCTTTTGAAGTCTGCATTTAATAGCATAGCTATAGAGAAGGAGAAGCTTAAGCAGATGGTTTCTGAGCAGGATCACAATAAAGGCCACAGCACACAGATGGCACGGCTCCGACAGTCACTGTCTCAGGTAAAAGAGAATGTTTGTTTCACTCTCATGATGCATACCCAATCCTGGAAGGTAAAATATTGGGGTGGAGGTGGTCCATCTTGCATGGCATGTTCAACCGAAACCACCCCCCTCAAGACATTACAATGTCGGGATTAAATTTTAAAATTCTTTAAAAATTAATTAATTTAATTAAGGTTGAAGTTAACTGTTTCTTGCAAAATAGATCAAGGTAAGAGTGAAAATCAACCAAACTTGGTTGTAAACATATAATTGTGTTTTTTTGACCGATTGAATACTTTTGATGCCTTTCAATGGTCATTTATAAGACCGCCCCTTTAAAAGACAAATCATGCATTTATATATGATTTACACTTCTAAAATATGTTCCAGAATATATTTAACCTAGTGTTAAATACAACAGAATCTACTAGATCTTCCACACTTAATATTTTTGACTTATACCACATCTGTTGAGAATTATTGCTTACTCTTACCTACTTTTTCCTTTTCTGCTTTATACTTTTAGAATTTTCTTCCTATCTAAGTTATGTTCCCTGAAGCAAGACCCATATATTTCAAGATATATTGTACATCATAAAATATATTATTCAATATATATTCATTACATATTATTAATATACATTCATTATCTATTATTCATTACATATTATTCAACATATATTGATCTTTGTAATACTCACCAAATACCTATGTATATCAAAGTTGAATTTTCTGATAAAAATCCTTTAAAACTGCGCTTAATGCTTTTTTACCCCAAGCACTTCCTCTGAACTATTTCCTTCCTTTAGTCTATAAATGCCCTTTTAAAAAGTCTTTTGAGAATTCGATGTTGTTATGTGATTTTGTGTGAGAACTCAGTGTTTATATAAAATATTGTTCACTTCCTGGTGCCTTGGATCAGAGTGAAGGAGCAAGCAAATCCTGGGTAAGTGGTTTTCCATGTGGATCGGCTCCTGCTTGAGTAGTTTCCCTCAGTCCCTAAAAATAGACAAACCGTCTCACCGTGTTTTATGTACCTGAACTGTCAGCTTACCCTCGGTGTTAAGTTTCACGCTATTGAGTATTGTTACCTGGGCCACACTTGCTGTGTTCACCATAAAACACTGTCAGTTGAGGTGCCTATCCTGCTTCTGGGGCACAACCAGGGGACCCGGGAGCATGAGCACTCAAAGTAGCACCTGTCGTGCCCGTCTGCAGAGGGCTTTTTTTTTATAAGTACATTTTAATGGTTTGCCTTGGGCTCCTCATGTCATGAACTCAGTCTGTGGTAATTGATCTTCAGAATCCTTATTCTGAAAGTATCATGAATCAGAAAGATCAAAATAATGGTTGAGTAGGGGCACCTGGGTGGCTTAGTGGGTTAAAGCCTCTGCCTTCAGCTCAGGTCATGATCCCACGGTCCTGGGATCCAGCCCCACATCGGGCTCTCTGCTCAGCGGCGAGCCTGCTTCTTCCTTTCTCTGTCTCTCTGCCTGCCTCTCTGCCTACTTGTAATCTCTGTCAAATGAAATAAAAATAAAATCTTAAAAAAAATCTTTAAAAAAATTAATAATAATGGTTGGGTAAACACATAGATGTCATCCTGTAAACATGCAAAATATACTCTTACCCTCCTAGGTGTTGCAGTGTTTCCTTCAGGTGTAGTAAATGATAGAGGCTTAGTGGCATACGCTTGTACTAAGAAAAATAAGAAAAGGTGTTGTTTCTTTTGTTTTTCCTTTGCACAAACTTTTTTTTTTTTAAAGTTTGTATTTTTATCATCCGGTGCTCATCATAAAGTGCTCTCCTTAATGCCCATCACCTCTTTCCTCCATTCCCCTCTGGTGACCATCGGTTTGTACTCTATAGTTAAGAGTCTATTTCTTGGTTTGTCTCTTTCTCCCTCTTTCCTTTTGCTTGTTTCGTTTTTTATTTTTTAATTCATTTTTTAAAAGATTTTATTTATTTATTTATTTGTCAGAGAGTGAGAGAGAGAGTATAAGCAGGGGGAGTGGCAGGCAGAGGGAGAAGCAGGCTCCCTGCTGAGCAAGGAGCGTGATGTGGGGCTCGATCCCAGGATCCTGGAATCATGACATGAGCCAAAGGCAGCTGCTTAACCGATTGAGCCCCTCAGGCATCCCTGTTTTGTTTTTAAAATTCCATATATGAGTGAAATCATATGGTATTTGTCTTTCTCTGATTGACTGATTTTGCTTAGCATTATACTCTAGCTCCATCCATGTTGTTGCAAATGGCAAGATTTCATTACTTTTTATGGCTAAATAATATTCTATTGTGCGTGTATATATATGTATACCACATCTTCTTTATTCATCAAATAATGGACACTTGGGCTGCTTCCATATCTTGGCTATTGTAAATAATGCTGCCATAAACATAGGGGTGCATGTATCCCTTTGAATTAATGTTTCTTTGGGGGGGCAGTAAATACCCAGTAGTGCAATTGCTGAATCATATGGTATTTCTATTTTTAACTTTTGAGGAAGCCCCATACTGTTTTCCGCAGTAGCTATACCAGTTTGCATTCCCACCAACAGTGCAAGAGGGTTCCTTTTCCTCCCTGTCCTCACCAACTATTATTTCGTGCGTTTTTTTATTTTAGCCATTCTGACAGGTAGAAGGTGATAGTTCATTGTGGTTTTGATTTGCATTTCCCTGATGATAAGTGATGATAAGCATCTTTTCACGTGTTTGTCAGCCAGCTGTATGTTTTCTTTGGAGAAATGTATGTTCATGTCTTCTGCCCATTTTTAATTGGATTGTTGGTTTGGGGGGCGTTGAGTTGTATCAGTTCTTTATATATTTTGGATACTAAGCCTTTATCAGATATGTCATTTGCAATTATCTTCTCCTATTCCATAGATTGCTTTTTAGTTTTGTTGATGGTTTTAAACTTGTATTTGTTTCTTGCTTGCTTGCTTTTATTTGCTTGTTTGCTAAGACAGAGAAGAAGTAGAGATCTGGTTTGTGCCACCAGATTAGAAATGATGGTAAAGAAGAATTTTTAAAAGTGATTCATTTTTTCATTCATTTATTCATTGTATTTTATTCAACTGACTGTATATTAGGTATAGTACAAGGTTTGAAACACCAAGACAAAAGTAACCCTGACTGTGTCCCCAGGAAGCTTATGATCTGATTAGTGAGATGAGCAGTATTTATAAAGGAAACAGTTAGATGGACCATGCTCTAGTCCATTCAGAGCAGCATGTGGGTGATGCAGATTTCTGGGGCTCTGGGGGTTCAGAAGAATGGGAGTTTCCTGACCTCAGAGCAGAGCCACATATCAGAAGGAACTGAGCTTTGAATGGGGCCTGAGTAGACAGCAGCAATTTCCAAGCAAGGACCTGATGCTAACATGATAAAAATAAAATAAAGTGAAGTTATCTCAGCTTTATATTTTGGAGGGTGTTTCCCTGTCATGTCAAAACATAATTTATTTACCTCTAAACTTAGAGCTTCAATAGATTTTTGTTCAGTTGTTATGGGTTTTTCTTGTTGTTTTGTGGTGAAGTTTTTTTTGGCTGTCATATATATTTTTTGGCTGTCATATGTATTTTTTTTAACCAGAAACTTCAATATTACCCTCAAAAAATAACTTGGTACTCTAAAGACAGTCTATTGTACCCTATTCACTAGAGAACTCAGTGCTTCCTGTTGTGTGTCATCATAGCATTTCGGCCATGTTCACGTTCTTGTGTCTGTCCATACCTCCCGCTGGACCAGCTGTACCCTCGCTGGCTGTCTATACTCTTTGCCCCTAAGGCTGGACTCTCTTTTGGAATTTCCTGTCGCTTTTGCTCAGACATTTCAGTTTATAGACAACTCACTCCCTTCTAGGGAATCGCTGCCCATGGTTAGACCACTGGAGAGGTATCTGGAGAATTGCATTTAACTCCTATTGGCCTAAGCCTGGGTTGAACAAGGAAGAATTAATCTAGAAACAGCTAAGTAAGTAGATGGGAACCAGCTCATCAAGGACCACACAGAGAAGTTTAGATTTCTCTCATCAGTGCTGGGGAGGCCTTCAAGAATTTAAACTCATGAGTGATAATGCCAGAAATTGAGAATATTAGTGTATATTTCTGTACCTAGAAAGCTTACTCTGGTGCAGTATGGAGAATGGATAGAATTGAGGGAAAACTAGTTGGACAGAGTCTTAAAATATTTGAGATAATGCAGGCCTAAACCCAGGAATCACCAGAGTTGGTAGAAGGAAGGGATGAGTCTCAAAGGCTGGGGAAGGGGGGCTGGGTAGAATCATCATAGCTTAGAGATCAGCTGATGTTAGACAGGGACAAAGAAACAGTAGCACATTAGTAATAGTTCTTTTCCCTGATATTGGAAATACAAGAGGAACTGATTTTTCAGGCCTGGGTAGGGATTTTTTTTGGAGACTGAGTGGTCTGTGGGCCATCCATCAGACATCAGATATGTAGATATAGAGCTCAGGAGAAGGGTCTGGCTAAAAAGAAAGATGCAGATACCCTGGTATGTTGGAAAAGTTATAGATGTTGATAAATCAGAAGAAAAGAGGGCCAGTGTGCTGCTGTACAGAACATTAATAGTTAAAGGACATAACAAAAAGAGGATCCTTTGATGCAGACTTAGGCGAAGCAGCCAAAGAATTTAGATGGCACTGACCATTGAGATCAATGGTAAAGGTTTTGATTGTCTCAAAAAGAATCCAGTTAAGCGCAAATAATATATAGACTGAAAGTTAGTCTTGGAGTTTGTTCGTGTTGTGAAGGGAAGGAACCAGAAGATGAAGAGACAGTGAGGATGGAAACCACTAACTGTTGGAGCCATCCTGGTTGGCCAACTCCATTTTCACTGTCCCTCTTTCAGCATAGCACTCCGAATTGAACAAGATGCTTAAATAGCATACATTGAGACAAGTGTTCCAAGTACATCTTTATATTAGTACAACTTCACATTATAATGTGATTTTAGGTGGCCTGAAGACATCTTCAATCCATATTCAAGGGTTATCAGTTAAACTTTCAGGTATTTTTCTTATAACCTGTTAAGTCTCTCCAGGGAGAGGGAAGGAGAAAGACTGTGTTTGAGTAACTTCTTAAATTGGTCTGACATTTTTAAAGTATATTTTTCATTTGTTATAAGTCCCATCTGATACCTGTAAAATTATCAAAATGCTGCTTTTCAATACAGCTTTTCAAGATATCCACTTGGCAAACTCCATCATCCTTTCAGAGGACACAGAGCATATAAAATACATGAAATTAGCATTCTTTACTACCTGCTGAGAATAATTGTTACCTGCCTTGGGCATGCAGTAATTTACAAGACTGCAGGATAATGAATTCCTCTTCTAAAGTGATATTTCTTCCCCAGTCTATGTGTATACAAAGACATACATAATTCTGTTATTTTACCTCCATGAAACTTTAGAGGTAACTTCTACACCTGAGAGGTAGCATAGATGTTAGATTCGAACCTGTAAGACAGGGCATTGTGTATGCTCTTGATCCCTTTATAAATGATTTTACAATTTCACATCCTTGTTAATGTAGTATCCTGAATCCCACGATCAAATAGTATCTGAGAAGACTAAGGTAGCTTCAGTACCCCAGGTTACTATAATAATAAAAGATTTGACTTGACTTGAGTCTGTCTTTAATACATTACCCTCTGACACTGTTACTAGTTTGGTCTCTGGCCCCAGAATCTATGCACAGCTTAAGCTAAATGTAGTGGGTTTGGGGTCCATATAAATGTGAGCAGCAGAATGTGTCCCTTGTACTGCAGCTAGAATTACCGTATTTCATTAAATCAACATGCCATCGATAGTTAGATGTACCATCATTATGTGCATTAGTGGAAAAGAAAGCAGACTGCCTGCGCTCAGTGAAATTGACGGTGCTTCAGAGATGTTGAATGGAGGAGGAGATGTGCATTTAGAATCGATGAAATACAGTATATGGAAATGTAAGTAAAAAATCAACTTAAGGCACATAGTACCATAATTAAAATCCCAATCGTAGTATTACCATCCTTCCTGTCTACAACATTTCACATACACAAAATAAATACTCTGGAGTATTTATCGGGATAAAACTTCCAAGAGTATTCCTGATTTTGAATTCCCTGAAACGTGGCAAAATTTGTTGTGATGAAGATATTCTTCATGGAATTATTTACATCTCTTTCTAGCTATCCAGTAAATTGAAATTGATGTCATTTTGGACATAATTTGGCCATATGTCTTAAAGCCTTAAAAAGATCTTATCTTTGACCCTTTAGCCCATGACTGATATTTCTAGTCTGAGGAAGTAATGCTGAATGTAGAAATCCACTATGCATACAAACATTCATGGCAGCATTATTTATTCTAGGAAAAACCAGTAATACCATAAAGTGTCCAATTATAGAAGATAATCACTTGCTATGCAAAAATGCAAAGTCATATTTGTGAAAAGTTTGCAACATAAAATAAATGTTTATACACAAAGAATAAGTGGCAGACACAGATGTCCAGTATGCACCCATTAAAAGATGTGGGAAATGTATAGGAAAAGGCTAGAGAAAAATATACCAAGTTACCAACAATTGGTTGATACAGTAGTAAGTTATGAATTTTTAAATTTTTTTTTACTTTTTGCATTTTCCATATATACTGTAGTAGTATGTACTTATTTTAAATTTTAAAAAAAGAAGGTGATTTTTAAGTGATTCCCAGGATTTGATTCTTGATCACTCTAGCTTTCACAGCTGCCGTAGTGATTTTCTTGATCCTTTTGAATCAGTTTTGCTTTTCTCCAAATTCTATCTTGCCATATGTCTCCTATCCTTCCCCAGCCCTCAGGCTTCCACGTTTCCTTCCCAGAACACAGTTCTGTTCAAGTAAAATGTATCTGTCCAAGTCTCACCCAATCCAAGGTTATCTTCACCCACCATCTGCCAGGATGGATAATGGTAGTTAATAGCCAACATGGTGGGGATTTGGACAATTGATTCTGACTTAGGATCTCAAGATGGTAACTTCTTTTATAGATTGAGAAGGTGTGGTTTGTCTCTTGGATATATTAAACTTGAATGTGTCCGAAGGACATGAGCTATGGAGAAATGAACACACTTTGTGGAGAGTATTGTGCTGAGTCCAAGCTCACTAGCTCACGCAAGTCGTGAGAATAAGCCTAGAATCTGCCTGGTGAAGAATTCAAGCACAAGAATTCCTGTGGCGCTCCCTCCCTGTTAGGTCTTTGGTCCCATCTGCTGCTCATAGAGCAATGTCATTACTGACATGTCTTCTTAGCTTTTCTTGCTCCTTGGCTGGTGTGAGTAGCTGATGACGCCCCTCCTTTTTCCTTGCTTCTCCACTGTTCATGATCCTTGGGTACGTTCTGAATGTCATTTCTGCCATCATCTGGGCTCTTCTGTATTAACTATCGCTAATAGTGTCCTTCCACAGAACCTACCTATATTCCTCCATGTTCCCAAGATTTCCATTATATCATTACAAAGAAAATAGTTGTGTTTCAGGGAGGGGAAGTAATAAATGTGGTCCTGCTCACTGCCTGAGAGCATGATACCACAAAGCTCGTGGCACTTGGCTGTCACAAACGTCAGAAACAGTCTCTATGATCAAGGCAAAAGGAGGAGCTGCCCAGGGAAAATGTGCAGAAATGGACCGTTGCACGCTCGGTTGTTTGCCTGCTTCCGCCTTCTGCCGCTAGGGCTGCCAGACTTGGAAGAGTACTTATATACATGCTTTTGGGGCTATCGAACAACAACCTTCTTCTACCACTGCATATGTATTATTAATAAAATTTTCCTTTTGAACTTTTAGTTCATCTCCTATCGCTAGTATGGCTAGAGGTTACCGTGTGTGCCACACACGCCCGTAGACACAATTGCATTTCGTGACAATTGGCTGAGATAAGAGCTGAAACGGGAATTTCACTAAAGTTATCCGGAGCAAACAGTACTATAAGTTTCTTTACAAAAGGCAAGCCTGTGTTAAAAACGCCTACTCTGAGGAAAACTGTTATTTCTCCTCACCACTGAGTCGTTTTTTTTTTTTTTAAAGATTTTTTATTTATTGATTTGACAGACAGAGATCACAAGTAGACAGAGAGGCAGGCAGAGAGAGAGAGGGAAGCAGGCTCCCTGCTGAGCAGAGAGCCCGATGCGGGACTCGATCCCAGGACCCTGAGATCATGACCTGAGCCGAAGGCAGCGGCTTATCCCACTGAGTCACCCAGGCGCCCTCCTCGCCACTGAGTTTTTGTGGCGTTGTTTTGTTAACTCTGTTGCAGTGCCCACAAACAGTACAGGCACTCTGGAGAAGCCCTCCATTGAAGTTGTCTGAAACTCTCAGGTCAAGACTATGAATCTGCAGTTAAAGCCCTCAAAGGACCCACCCACGAGGCCTCCCGCCTAAAAGATAGTAAAATGTAAAATATATCTGATTCCAAATATTTCAATAGACAAGGCAACCTTCAGCATACTTATGGGCAAAGAAATAGGGAAAGAACAAATACACGTAGGTATAGTGGCCACAAAGGAGAGGGATAATGGGGTTTGTTTTTTTGTTCGTTTGTTTTTTCACCTACAAAGTATTTGAGATTTTGCTCTGGGAAAGATGATCCTGAGCACTTTTGCAGAATGTAAAGATATTAGGATTCTTCCTTTAAAGTACATGCCTTGTTTACTATAACGGTAATCACCGCTTATCTAAATAACACATCCCTGTTTTTCCAAGGAGCTAGACACGTATATCCTTCAATCCATAAACGTAGCAACTATAAGATCTCTATTCCCCTTTCATCCCTCAATACCTGACAGCCCACCGGATCAGATGTGTTACATTTCACATATATTTTAGAAGCTGGTTATAAAGAATTTTAAACAAATGCCAAAAGCTGTGAGTGAACAATTTTCTCCTCAAAAAGCGGAAACCATGTTGGAGGGAGAGAGGAGAGGCCGTTCTATGCCCCAAGGACTATGTACACCTCAATGCCACTGTAGAGTTTAGCCACTTTGTAGTTTATCCTGACTGTCTTAATAGATACAGAGTTAGAATTATGATGTTACATTTGTATATGTGTATTGGATTACTACATCCATACACTGCATCTGAAGAACAGCAGTATGTCTGCTCCCTGGGGGAGATGCCTTTGTTAGCCCTGACATTTTTCTCCCACCCAGTAAGGCATCCGCCTCCATCTTCTTTCTCATTGCTGATTTTAATGCAAAGGGAAGGAATTGTCCAGCTTCTTGTGGGGCTTTGTTCTCACATGTCTTTTGATCCTTGATGTAATTCCAGTTTGCTATATCTATCTAACGTTAGGGAACATGTTCCCATGCAGCTGTGGGATGCAAGCACCTTTGTCCACTGGGCGCCAGAAGGGAGTAAAGCTTATATAAAGCTGTTCTCTTCTTGCCACATGTCCTAACTTGTTATATACCAGGTAGTGTTTTACTGATACAGATATCATGATGCCGAAAACTTGGAATTAGTTCCTTGTCCGTGTCTACAGTGCTCAATGAAGACACCTTTTGGGCTGCACTTGAATTAGTTCTGTTGCACCGTCATGTACATGTGCTCCTAGAAATTGAAAATACAACTCTTTTATCACTGGAATAAAATATAAGTCTATAAATTAAAGCCAGCTCATTGTTCATTCCATTTCCAAATAATTTTTCAGGTCACTACCTGGCTTGGAGACAGTTCCCAAATTTTAGAAACTTGAACCCAAAATGGAAAGAATCAGCAGTTTTTATCTCAGGCTGTAAAACATAATATATATGTGGTGGTAGACCGGGTTTGGATGTAATAATGGGCCTGACTCCAAGGGGGAGAAAATTCCATGAATCATTTTTATGAAATCCATGAACTCTTTCAACCCACTAACCTACTAAGTAGCACTCTTATTTTATGAAAAATGAATACCTTAATTCGGAGCCATTCATTTCTTTCTTACGGGTAGGATCTGGCCTGTGTTGACTCCAAAAATTATAACCAAGAACATCATAGACTCTTGTCTGCTGTGAATTTGTGTGCTTATTCTGTTTTATGCTTGCTTATTAACTTGAAATTACATGTGCAATTTTTGTTATTTTAAGGCACTCAACCAGAATGCTGAGCTAAGAAGTCGGTTGAACAGAATACATTCAGAATCTATTATTTGTGATCAGGTTGTCAGTGTAAATATTATTCCTAGCCCTGATGAGGTAAGACTCATTTTTAATGGATGTAGAATACTTACTTTATAGCATCTAAATCAACTACATATTTGGGTTTGTTTTTTTTTTTTAATACAGTTCTTTCACTGTTAATAAGATTCTCTGCATAAATATCTGTGTTGTTGACAGTTTGGTGTTCTTCAGAGTGAAGGATGTACATGAGCTCAATATCATTTATTCTCGGTGATCAGTCTCTATTTGTACTTTTATCTGTGTTCACCTGATGCTACTGAATAATTTAGTTTATATATCTACTCCAGCTTGTGAATTCTCCGTGTCTGTCACAGACTATTGGAAATGTTCCTTATCATCAGATGGCCTATGAAATGTTGTGGGGAGAAACAGATTCATCTGAGAAGGTGCTAAATGATAGCTTTTTTAAGGTTTATTTTAAAAGGCCTATCTTAGGAGAAATCACCTAACCTTACTAAAATAACATTAGTGATGCAATTACAGCCACTAATAGTGATGTTGATAATTAATAGCTAGCGCATGTCAAATGAATGCTTACTGTATGCTGGGCATTGTGCTGACAACATTCGACACTCCCAGTGACCTCTGAGGTAGGTGCTATTATCATCACTCCATTGCTCAGGAGAATTTTTGACGTAATGCTCAAAGGACAGGAGAACATTCACTATTTGGGCCAGACTTAGTGTATAATTCTGTCTATAACCCTTTATAAAATTACTGTTTTATAACCATGAGAATTTAAACTTTTCAACGGTAATATTGGAGTTTTATATACAGTGATATGATACATGTAATAAGGTGAGAGTTTTAACTCGGCCATATTTACAGAAAACCGTACATTTTACTAGAAATCTACAGGGGCCAAGGTCCTGGCATCTAATTGCTTAGGAAATGCCATCCCAAGACAAGCTTCTTTTTGATTTAAGTTGTTGATCCTAGGTCCACTCACTTCATGCAACACACGGTATCTGATGACATCATGCTCACTCTACTGAGAATCCAGAAGATTTCTACAACTTCATCATTCAGAAATCGTTAGCAGTCTTAGTTTGAATCTTTGTAGTCTGGTGTTTATTTGTACTACCATACTGTGTGTATCTATATCACTTACTGAATAAAAATATAGTTTGCCATAGGTTTAATACTCGAGTCATATTATCTCATTGGTTAAAGTTCTTAACAAGTTGGAAAATGACTTTTATATATTCTGTCTCAAAAATTTAGTTTTATGGAGTGTTTTCTTAGCATATTTCTAGCAGTTTCCACAAATATGTCTTGAGATTTAGCATACTGGTTAGAATATGGCTAGTAAAGATGGATCTAAGAATATGAAAGTGAACCTGTCTCCATAATCAATTCAGGGTCTTCATAGGGGTTCAACCTATTAAACTCCACTGAATATCCACTGAGCATTGATTTGAAGTCAAGTCACAGTACCACCATTTTTCAGCCATGCCTTTTGGATTCTTTAGACATATTAGAAGGAAATTTAGGCCATGGTCATGAGTCGCAGGTGAAAATTACTTGTGGTCACCACTCTTAACATATGGTATGAATTTCTCTAGAAGTCTGACCTGGTACGTCATGGTCTTATTTGAACAAATAGCTTTTCTTTGAAGGGAATAATGATGACCCCAAATGTTTCCTTCCTCTATAGGCTGGTGAGCAAATCCATGTCAGTCTCCCCCTGTCACAGCAGGTAGCCAACGAGAGCCGCCTTTCCATGTCAGAGTCTGTCTCCGAGTTCTTTGACGCCCAGGAGGTGCTGCTCTCTGCGAGCTCATCAGAGAATGAGGTAAGCTTTTTTGATGTGTCAACCCTAACTGCTTCTGATGAGGAGTTTGGGTTAAAGAAAGTAAGGCTATGGGGACTTTTCTTTCCTTTTCCTTTTTCTTTTCTTTCTTTCTTTCTTTCTTTTTTTTTAAACATCACAGTAAGATTCTCAAATTGTAGGAAAGCCAAAAACATGCAAACTACATTACTGAGCACTGAACACTTCTGGGAGTCAACTTATTACTTACTAAATTTGATGAATTAAAGGAAAGAATCTAGCATTCATTTGGACACTGTTGTATGATTTGTATTTCAGGATAACCAAATAGTTGATGGCAGAGTTTTTTTGTAGAGGAGACTGGTTAAATGTAGAAAGAAAGGATGAAAGAATTTGAAAATCACCATGTGTGTGCGTATGTGTGTGAGTGCACGGATATATGCGCACGTACATGCACACACACACACATATACACACGCATCTTTACCAGAGACAAGAATTTGAGCTCCTTTAGAAAGATGATGTCTAGAATATATGGTTGGGTAATTAAGGTTTTTGGAGGTTACCACTGGCTAGCATAAAAACTTTTTTGTTGTCTTTTATTGAGGTATAATTTACATACAACATTATTTTAGTTTCAGGTGTACAACATAAGAATTTTTATTTATATATATTTTTAATTGGTCACTCCTAAAGCCTAATTAACATCTGTCATCATACGTAATTACAGAATTTTTTTCCTATAATAAGAACTTTTCAGATCTACTCTTGTAGCAACTTTCAAATATGCAATACAGTATTATTAACTCTAGTTAGAGCATGCTGTACCTTATATCTCCAACTTATTTATATATTTTATAATATATATTTTTTATAATACATATTTTATAATATATATATTTTACAATATAATTGGAAGTTTGTACCCATAAAGACTTCTTAGATTGTTCTTCATGCTCATAAGTCTTGGCTAGGTCTTGGGAGCAGGGAATCTTCCTTGATCAGGTTGCAGAAATGGATTCTTTTACTGAAATTTAGAAATTTAGTCAAGCATCCTTTGAATTTTCTGCTTGCTTTCTTCTTTCCTTCCTCCCTCCCTTTGTTTCTTTCTTTCTTTCGTTCAGCATGGGAGAACCAGCCAAAACTCTTTCCAACACAGTTGATTAAAAATTTCGTCATTTGAGGTTGCAAATCAGTACTACATTTTTACAAAAAGGAAATGAAATAGTTGCTGAATGTTATTTCCATATGCATAGAAAGTAGATTGGAAGGAAGCATCCTGACAATTAGTTATAATTGTTTTTGGATGTTGGAAATTATGAGTGATTTTAGAAACAAAAATAAGTGGAGAAGAGAAAGAAATAATGAACACATACCACTTTTATAATGCGAGAGAAGTAAAATAATATTCTTGTATGAGATACTGAATCTGTTACTACACCAAGCCATGCACCTGCCTCTCCTATCCGTAGTCCCGTTTGCCGATTCAGAGACTCCTGGGTACAAGCCAGAGTACTAGTTAAATTATTCATAATGATAATTGGTCAGATGCTATCAGATGGGCAAAATAATTATGCTTGCCGATTCATATCTCTTTCCCTAGGGCCCACCTGCATGGAAAGTCTAGCTCTAGTCAGTTGCTTGGTGAGCAAGGAATGGGAGCAGGAACAGTGACTTGAGTGAACTAAAGGCTAGGAGGGCCAGGATGTTATAGCTCTGCTCTTGTCTCCATTGTAGGGATACTGTGCCACGTGGACAGGCTCTTTGTGTCTGGGAGCCAGTCATACCCACAGGGACCACCATGCTGAAGGCATGCTACCAGCATTTTCTTTTCTGACTCTCCTTTCTCTGACCTCCCATTGCTGACCAGTCCTTCATCCTTCTTCAGTCAGGTTCCAGTCAAATTTGGCTTCATGTTTCTGGAGCTCTGACCCATTAGATGATGACTTTACAGCTGTCTCTCTGAAAGCCACCCAATTTCCCTATTTTTAAGTTCTTGGTGGCACACTGTCTAGGGGCCAAGTGCCACTTGTACCAGACACTGATGATACTGAAATGAAAGGGGCGTGAAGTGGGTTATTTCTCAAGTCCAGGCAGCATGTTGGTACCAGCTCTGGCGGAGGAGTGATCCTGGTAGCAGAGGGAAGGACAGGGGGTACGAGGAGATGATGTGTTCACCTGGAGGTATTGTGAGTTGATCAGACCTCTCAGCGGAGTTATCTGGCCAGTATTTGGGTATTCAGATCTAAAGCTCAAAGAGAGAACAGGTCTGAAGAGAGAGCAAGAGTCAGCTCAGGTCCCATATAACGAGCCACCTGGGAGACATTGCCCCCTGGGAGCTCTACAGAACCTCTCATTCAGCATGTCCCAAAATGGATTAATCACCAAAGCGCCTACCCACACACACACCTCCAAGTGGAGAGAAGCCTACTTATACTTCTCGTGTTGTGTGTCCGACTGCTCTTTGCCCAGGCGTTTACATGAAATGCCTGGCTCTTAGCCTTCCCCTGCACCTGCCGTACTAGGACCCGCCACCCACACTGATTCACTCATTAAGTTCTGTAATGACTCACCTAAAAACTATGAAATCCATACATCTTCCTCCAGCTTCCCTGGCACTACTCCACCTCAGTCCTCCATCATCTGCCCCCCGGATTACCTGACCAGTTCCCATTACTGATTTCCCTGCCTCCCTTCTTGCCCCTCTAATCCATTTTCCACTGGTCAGCCTGATTCATCTTTCTGAAGTACAAATCTGATCATGTTTCCCCAGTGTCCTTAAGATAACTATCTTAGCCATCATGCAAAGACCCTTATAATCTGATCTCTGCTCCCAGCTGCAGCCTCTTGCAATTTCTATTCTTCTGGATCCTTCCAGAGGCCAAATATTTGCTAACTGAATGAAGGAATGCTTATAGCACTTTAACACATGGTTAATCTGAGAAACATCTGGGCTATCTTATATTAACGCTTTCCACGAGTGAGAGAAAAATCCTCTTTATGTGATATCTACCCATGCACTTCTCTTAATGAATATTCTGCTTCCTTTAAAAATGCTGGTTTTGGGGCGCCTGGGTGGCTCAGTGGGTTAAGCCTCTGCCTTCGGCTCAGGTCCTGATCTCAGGGTCCTGGGATCGAGCCCCACATTGGGCTCTCTGCTCAGCGGGGAACCTGCTTCCTCCTCTCTCTCTGCCTGCCTCTCTGCCTACTTGTGGTCTCTGTCTGTCAGATAAATAAACAAAAATATTTAAATTAAAAAAAAAAATGCTGGTTTTGCTTCCAGAATGGTCTATTTCCTTTCCTCTGCTATTAACTTGTTTCCACAAGGCTACATGCCTGGTTGCATTTAGGAAAAAAAGAAAAAAAAAATTCTCTGAACTCTTTTGAATGCCTAAGCTCTTCAGGAGAAATATTTGTCCCCAGGACTTCTTGACTGGGGCGGGGCAGGGGTTGGGGAATGAGTATATATTAACTGTTTTATTATAATACTGTAGAGCTTTAACTTTATATACAGGATAATGTGCATGGACCGCAGCTAGACAGCCAAGCCTTAGCTATTGCTCACACATATGGGAATATAGATCTGACTCAGGGCCCACTGTCATTGGGGAATTGTTTTACGTTCTGCATGATCCATTCTAGAAGGAAATGGGTATTGGACAATTTTTATCATATAGTACATTTTTATCATATATTATAATACATATATCATATATTTCTAATAGATTAGAAATTCAAGAAGAATAGGCTGTTTATAGCTTTTTGTAGGATGAACATGAATGTTTTCTTAATAAATGTTAAAACCAGTGCACAGGCATGCAACATGAATTTTGTTTGAACAGGCATTTGTTTCCTCTAACATAATTGGGTATGATTAGCTTTTTTAAGAGAAATCATGCAGAAGAGTTTGATTTACTTTTTTTTTCCCCCTATCAAGTTTAAGAAGGTGGTTTTCATGTGCCTGATGATTTTCACCATTGGCTCTTTTGTAGTCAATAGGAACTGGAAAGCAGTTGCAGGGGGAAAACATGAATCAGAAAAAAACTTTATTCTCAATTTGCCGTCTTTATAGACTTGCTCAGGCTGCAAAGCAAAACTTCCATTATTTATTTATGTATGCAATAACTCCATCACTATTCTCCCTAAATATAGGAATTCTTCTCAACTTTAACTTTCAAAACATCAATTATAAGTCCAGAAACCTTAAAGGCAAGCCTGATTGTTTTTTATTACCTACAAAATTAAAACTTTTACATGGCAAAAAGAAAAAAAAGAGGCAAAAACAGCATTAAAAAATAAATTGCAGACTAGCCAAATGCAACCTAGATGATGAACTGAAAAAAAGAAAGAAAACAAATTTACCTAAGATGAAATGCAAACTTTTAAAGAGATCTCTTACGTATGTTAGGTAAATAGATACTGAAAAAGGATTGATAATACGTAGTGTTTAAGTGGGTGGAGAGATGGATGTTCTCATATGCTGCTGGTGAGAACAAATTACTATACTCTTTGAGGACAACAATTTGGCAACCTGGGCCTATAGCCTAAATGTGGCCCATTTGATCCAGCCATTTCACTTCTAGGAATAAATATTAATGAAATTGCCAGACAGATTCACAGAAATATATTTACAAGGACATGCATCCCAGTATTATCAATAATAATAAAAAGTTGGAAACCATTTAAATGCTGGCTAAATGCCTTGTGTTGTACCTGTATAATGAATTGTGTTGCTATTCCAAATGAAGGTGAGAGCTGTATTTATGATCATGGAAATATATTGAGAACACTATAAAACAAGATGTAAACTGACCCCCTTGTTCAGTCTCTAAAGATAGATAGACCAGTGTGTTTGCATAGGCATTTTGACATTGGCGGTAATACCCACCAAATGTTAGAAGTGGTTTCCATTAGATGATAGAATTATGGTTCATTTTTCTATAATCTGTTTACCCTCATATAATTTCTAATTTTTTTACAGTAAAGGTGTTTTATTATATGTACAGGGGAAAATGTAACATTATTTCCACTTTGAAGAAAGTAAATAAGTGTCAGCAGCTTTCTTGCCTAGAGTAGAGAGGTTGGTTTCCGTTTCTCTGAGTGGCTCTACTGAGCTCTGTTTTCTTATCTTACCTATTTCTAACTCCCCTTAGTACATAGGTTACCCCTTAATTTCATTCTCATGCAAATTTTGCTCTCATTTTCATTCCATGTTGTTCTCTTGGAGAGAGTAGCTTCATTCTTGATTTCCCTCGTCCTGGGATCTTCCTCCCTCACCCCCAAATAATCTGCCAAATTTTGTCCATTATCTTCAAATGTGGCTCTCAAAGCAGCTTTGCTTCCCGACCCTCGTCGTGGCCATCTTAACCCGTCAGCATTCCCTACCCACATCCATGTAGTAGCCTATCATCTGAGCTCCTGAAGAAAAGCCGCCAGGCATCTTCCTGAAAACTAAATATGGAAATAATAAAAAATAAATAAAATTAAAAAAATAAAAAGAAGAATTGTGTTTTGAAGAAAATATATGACTGTCATCCCCTTGCATGTAATAACTGGTGGGATTATATGGGAACCTGTTATGTTGACATGAAAAGACCTTCACAGTCTGACCCTCTTCCTGGTCACCCCACCCTCTGTCACAGCCACTCAACTTCTGAGCCTTCCTGGAATGGAACGTTCCTTTCATGTTTCTCCACACCTTTGTACACTCTCCTTTCTTCCTGTGCTTCTTTTCCTTCCAAAAACCTCTCCAACACCCAGTGCCAATTTTATTTCCTCTGGGCAGCCCCTCCTGATTCCCTAGCGGGAATATAAGGCCTCCTTTTTTTGTACATTCTTGCTGACATATTTCTGATTACTGGCCTCCCCCAGTCCCCCACCCCAACTAAGGCGGGGGCTACTCAGAGACGAAGGCTGCTTTCAAGCCATGCTACGTTCTGGCTCATGGCTCACTCTCTTTCTCAAGTGTCCCTTGTACATATGCCAAGTACATTTCCCCTGCGACCTGTGTTTTTGCTTATTTGGGCAACATTTTGCTTTTAATCATTTGATTTTCTAACTTTTCAAGACTGAACAAGGGTTCTGATCCTTTCTGTGTTCTTCCCTTTTTCAGGCTTCAGATGATGAATCTTACATCAGTGATGTGAGCGATAATATATCCGAAGACAATACCAGTGTTGCAGACAACATTTCTCGGCAAAGTATGCATCCTTTCAGCTCCCAGGTTGTTCCGTCTTCTTTCCAAGTTAGAATGCTGGTGATTCAGTGAACAACCTTTTTCTCCCTCTCTGATTTTTCCCTTTGCAGCAAGCTGATTATTTAATACATTTTATATTTATATAATCTGTTAAGGTAAATGATTGCAAAAACCATTAGGTAGAAGCTTAAATGAAAAGCTTTTACTTCTTGCCAAAACCAAAAGTTTGAGTGTTTCTTATTAAATGTATTTAATTCTTTAAAATTTGGCTTTTCTGAGGGTTTTGTGGGGGGTGAGCCTGGTGGTGGGCATTAAGGAGGGCACGGATTTTATGGAGCACTGGGTGTGGTGCATAAACAATAAATCTTGAAACACTGAAAAAAAGATAAAATTAAATTTAAAAAACTGCTAATAGTAAATAAATTATGAAAAAAATTGACTCTTCTGGAATAATATTTGAGCATATGTAACACCTTGTTAAAAAAAAACTTGTACATTGACGTTTTGTGCATTTATTAGCAACTCTGTGTTGAAATAATTTCATTCACTCTTGAGAGAGTCTAGTGGAGGCTTAAGAAATGTATCACATCCAGAAGTATTTGAGTTATTTCCTTCCTAGATGCCATGAAATCAAAAGAGCAAAGTATCTTTTATCGTGCTTCTTGTCTTTCTCTTCCAGTCTTAAATGGGGAGCTTACAGGAGGAGCCTTCCGAAATGGACGTCGAACATGCCTGCCAGCTCCCTGTCCCGACACCAGTAACATTAACCTGTGGAATATCCTAAGGAACAACATTGGTAAAGATTTGTCTAAAGTCTCGATGCCTGTGGAGCTAAATGAGCCACTCAACACCCTGCAGCATCTCTGTGAGGAAATCGAATACAGTGAGCTTCTGGACAAGGCTTCCGAAACGGATGACCCCTACGAGCGCATGGTAATACATAACACAGCAGTGCCTCTCAGGGAGCTGTCAACCCTAGGCGTGGACTAAGGCAGAATTCGTTACGATGGCATATTTGGTTTCTGCATGACATTCTCACTGCATAGGTGAAGAAGGAGACAGTTCATTTGCACAAACTGGGCAGGGCCCGAAAGTTCCAGATACTTCTACAGAGGATGTGTGCTTTGTGACTTATCTTTGGTCACGAGTGTTTCCGAAGTTAGGATGTAAACGTATCACACTCATTCCAGGTTTAAGGCATGCCTAGCCTTGCTCTAGCAGCTTCTCCTGGAGGCCAAGAGAGCCCATGTGTTCAAGAACTTGGGTCAGAGAAAGGAACCTCCTGTTTGTGCTTTGCCGTGGCCTCTGCTGCACCTGACTGTGGAAGGCTTGACTGCCCTTCCGAAAGCACCAGCAGCCAGAGGCCTCCTGCCCATGGCACTAAGTTGTGTGAAAGACAGAACCTATAAACTGGGTTTCAGAACCTCTGAACGCTGTGATACTCAGGAAGCTGGGTGACAGCTGAATGAAGAATTAGTGGCCTCAGATGCAAGGACTTTCACATCCTCTTCACTCATTTTTTTAACCCATGAGTTTATGAAGAGTCTATGCAGATAATGGAAAATGCAGATGCCATCAGATCAGCACACACGAACAGGGGTGTGTAAAATCTAGAGGAATAAGGGACAAACAGACCTGGAAGTAGTCTCTCCTATATTATTTTCCTTTCTTAAATGTTTTAACAGGTTCTTATTGCTGCATTTGCAGTTTCAGGATATTGCTCCACCTATTTCAGAGCAGGAAGTAAGCCATTCAACCCTGTCCTTGGGGAGACTTACGAATGCATTCGAGAGGACAAGGGATTCCGATTTTTCTCAGAACAGGTAAGTCCCATTGGACTCAGTGAGGTTTCTATGCAGAAACTGTAGGAGGACCGGTTGATGACGAAACAGCTTTTTGATCAACCACAATTTGAAGTGAGCTATGATATCAGTTAACAGAAAACTCCGTCCGTGTATATAAGTTCTCTGGGTTTAAGCATGAAGTCTTAAAGTGAAAGTGAAAGTAATTTACTTACACGTTCTGAGAATAATTCAATAATAGAGATGGATGAGTTAACTGTTTTTATTTGGGGGTGGCCAATATATATTGGGAAAAAACTATCATTTATGGAAGTTTTAACACTGATATCATTGCCCTCTCTTTTGTTTTTAATTACCAGGTTAGCCATCATCCACCCATTTCTGCCTGTCACTGTGAATCCAAGAATTTTGTGTTTTGGCAAGGTTTGTATTTCAATTATAACTTCAAGATCCACTCGGTGAGCCTTTGAAACAGTTTCTAGTTTCTGAAAGGTACATTATGCTCAGGTTAGATTTCTACCTTTGGGATTCAGAGAATGTTAGTAATTAGTATGGAATTCAATTTGAGAAATTAGATTTCTTGGTTGAAATATGAAACTGTGTCATCTAGGAGATGAGATTGTATATCTAGGAAACAAAGCCCTAGGGGCAGTAGAGCTCAGTGCCGACTGCCAACTCAGGGCTATCACTCAACCTCATTATACCTTATTGCCTGCATCTGTAACATAGAGGTTCTGTCTGCTGCCTCCTTGCTTCTTGAGGGTATGCAAGGAGAGCTTCATCGTGAAAGAAGGTTCTGTGGCTCATCATCTGTGGTCATGACCTATTTAGATAGGTAAACATTATGCTGATTTTGTGGTCTTTAACTCACCAAGGTTCAGGGATTTGGATTGAAGTCTCCACTTGTACAGTGCCCATTGTTTAGTCAGAATGTTAAAAACTCACATAAAATTACAAGTTTCAAAATCCATTTAGAAAGAAAAATATATACAGGTGAGCCTTGAACAAAGCTGGGGTTAGGAGGCTGACCCCCCACACAGTCTAAAATTGATGTGCTACTTTTGACTCCCCCAAAACTTAACTAGTGATAGCTTACCATTAACCAGAAACCTTACCCATAAAGTATAAATGGTCAGCAACATGTATTTTATATGTTATATGTATTATATACTATATTCTTACAGTAAAGTAAGCTAGAAGAAAGAAATGTTATTAAGAAAATCATAAGGAAGAGAAAATACATTTATAATACTGTACTGTGTTTATCAAAAAAATATCTGCCGGTGAGTGGACCCACGCAGTTCAAATGCATGTTGCTCAATGATCAACTGTATATGTACGTTTAACCATTAAGTGTAAATTGTTCTTTTGTGTTTCGAAGGTGGGTTCATTGCTCACAGAATGTCTCTTCTCATCTGCCCTTTCTCAATCTAAAAACACACAATATGACAGAGCATGTAACTGTATTTCATTGTAAAATACAATAATACATCATTTCTTGATCATAACAAAGAGTCATAAATTTTGTGGAGACAGCACTAAGCTCCCTTACTTAGTTTATCAAAATAGAGCCAAGTGGTTATTACAAATGCACAGGCAAACCTGAGTGCCCCCAAATAAAACATAAAGCCATCATGTGAGGTAAACCACTGAGCCCTGGGCCATATCTTAACTACCAGAGTAGGAACATATTCGCTAATTTCACTTTCTCATAAATTTTGCTTACCTTTCCATATTTAGAGATTTTGTTTTTTCCTGTTTTCCCAAATCCTATAACTTTTCAAATCAATGTGTATATAAATCAATGGTATTGCCCTACTGCAATTATTTTTACTACATATCTTATTTTTAACATATATGTTAACTATTTCTGCCATTTAGTTAAAACTTTTAGTTAAAACAACATTTATGTAGACATTAAAGCATGGTAGAGTCTGTGTATATGCATGTATGTGAATTCCCATGCACACATACTGTTCTGAGCTTTTCCCAGTTTTATTTGTTGATACAAATACGGAACATGTGTTCTGGAAAAACAGACAGTAGATTTTTTTGGTTCATAGTTAATTTTTTCACCTTGGGCCATCCCCAGGTATGTGAACTGTTAAATCAAAAATATAGAATCAGTTGTTGATTGTAAAAGTTCTTTATGAAATATAGAGTGTAATATTGATGTTCGTTTTTATAGACTGAATGATTAGATATGGAATATCTGTTTCTTCTCCTCTGCCTATGTTGTTTAGATATCAGATGGAAAAACAAGTTCTGGGGGAAGTCCATGGAAATCCTACCTGTTGGAACACTGAATGTCATGCTTCCAAAGTAGGTTGCTTTCATCTTCCTTTTGGTGTCTTACGTGCTTTTCTAAGTCAGATATGGGTCTTTGAAACTCTAGAAGGTGCCAGTGATCCATTTACATGTATGCCTAAAGCTTCTGTCAACTTCTCCAAAGTTTGGAGAATGGACCCCCATCAAAGCAAATGAGTACTTGGCATATGTATCAAAGCTCCCTGCTTCTCTCTTTACATTCTCTGTTTATCAAGTCAAAGCCAGCTATCTTACCTGCCCCAGATACCTTGTTAGTTTGCATTTTATAGGAAGTTTCTCTTTTTAAAACTTTTTTTCTATACAATATATATTTTCACTTTTGAATTCATCTTAGATCCAGGAACTATTTTTAATGTGTAAGTTAGTTTATTAAAGAAGAGTGATGGAATCCTTTCATGGTATTTTTCTAAAGGATGTAGCCTGTGAATTTTTAAAATTAATTGAAGTTTTCATTGAAGCCAAAGGCTTGGTTGTTTTGCTTCTTTCTTCAGTTGGTTGATGTTGTTTGGTTTTTCTTTTTGTTTATTCAGTGACAGAATTTGCTGGTGGATTGAATATGAAGGAGGGTAGGGGGAAAGAGGAACCCCAGGACCACAAAATAGACTTTAAATATTTGCAAACTCATGAGAAGAGAGTTTTCCCAGCTGCGTAGTGAGACTGCATCATACCAATTCATAAATTTTTTTTAGAAACTTAGAAGTGTTTTATTTTATTTTGAAATAACATTTTATTTGAAAATACAGATCATGTGCAAACTTCAAGGTAATCTGAAGCTATGTCACCTCATTCCTTGGCAGAAACTCTATAACCTTCTGTAACCCAGAATTTGCATTAGACATGCACTGTCTGTGATCACCAGTCTTTTCTCCAAGAATTATTCACATCTTTGGTCTTAATTCGGAGTATGAAACAATGTCCATCCTCAGGGTAATCTTTCTTAAAGATACATCCTGTCATGCCTATCTGCTCCCTCAAATCCTTCCATGGTGGCCCATTGAATCCAGACTCATCAGTGCATTGTTAAAGGCCTTCCCTGCTCTGCCTTGTCGCCTTCCCTGCTCTGCCTTGTCACCTTCCCAGACTTGCCACGCCCACACCCGCTCACGTATGCCACTGGCAGGCCCCCAGATACGTCATGGTATTCTGGCCTCTATGGCCTTGTCAGTGCCTTTTCCTGGCCTACGGTGCCCTCCTACCTATCCTCCAAGCTTAGACGGATTCCAGCCTTCTCCAGGAAGTCTTCCTTGATACTCACCCCACGTTCCAGGCAGATCTAAGGACTCCCCTTCTGTGTTCTCATGACACTTCCTCATCACATTTTATTATAAGTACTTTTTGCCATATCTGTCTACTCCTCCCATACTGTTGGCTCCAAGAGAGCAAGAGACAGGTCCTATTCAACTTAGTAGCTTCAGCACCTGGACTATAGAAAGCACTGAAGTGTTCCTTAAATGAATGAGTCTTATTACAAATGTCCTTGACTATATAGAAACTTTCAACAGAGAAATTAGAGGGAAAGGAAGCTTTGGCCAAAGATATTCTCAGTTGTAGAAACAGTACTATATATTTGTGACCTTCATTGTTTTTAACCAACATTGTATTCTTCACTAGGTATGGAGATTGCTATGTATGGAATAAAGTCACCACGTGCATACACAACATTCTCAGTGGGAGGAGGTGGATAGAGCATTATGGAGAAGTAACCATTAGAAATACCAAAAGCAGTGTTTGCATTTGCAAACTCACATTTGTCAAGGTAAATGGTAATCTTCCAACAGTAAAGAAGAAAAGAGTATAAAACGCTTTGTAAAGGAGAAATATAAGTTACCTTAAACAACAGCAAGTGAGACTGCCCCGTATCATTGTTCCTTAAGGACATGTTAGATAAAAGAAAGCAGAACCAACTGATGGAGTTACTCGAGGCGTGCAGACTTCCACGCATGTGGAGGTCAAAAAAGGCACCATCTCAAAACAGAAGAACTACTCTTCTTTCTAAAGAATTTTCTTTTTAAGCAGCCAGTCAGTATTCATTAAGTAAAATTCCAGAAAACACTCTTGCCTGTAGCAAGTCTTCTGGTTTCTATTTCTGTTCCTGCTTGATTGCAACAGAGTCAAGTGATTTTATTTTAGGGAGCTAATTATAATGCATTTGTCATTTTCTGAGGGTGCATGTGAATAACTTCCAGTCACTATAAGCTTATCCAACTCTGCCACTATGATGATCCAAGAAAAAGCGTCACCTTAATCAACAAGAAAAGATTCTTGAGGTAGAATGCCTACACAACAGCATTTTCCTCAGTCACTCTGGTCTCAAGTGGAACAAACAGTCTCACCCTCATGGATAGGTGTGTTCCCGAATTCGTGGTACAGAAACTCTACCAGCCCTTTTAATCTATTCTACTCTGATCTTGTTCTACTGTGGCAAAAACAAGTAACATATTGAAGTCTTAAAGCTCAAAATGTTGTCTTCTTAGTGAAATCCTTTGAAGCTGTACTGGAAGGTCATGTTAGTTTTAATTGAAGATCTTTATTTTTACTCAAGATGTTTCCCCCATTTTCCTTTTTTTCTCCTTTTGGACTCATTAGGTGGCTCAGAACTGAAAGGACAGGATCATTACTTGCTCTGATTGGGTGATGACAGTCAATGTGTGCATTTAGTTTTGCAGACCACGAGAAGCTTCTCAATTTAGTCCTGTCCCTAATATTTGCAAAGCTCAGGACCAAAGTACAGATGGAGGCCCCATTCCATATGTGTAAATATTTAAAATTTATAGACCAGACCTACAGTCTCTCACATAACTTATGTTCTGTTCTTTCACCTTGACAAATACACTTTTATAACAAAGTCCGCGAGGCTAGGTTGGGCACTTTAGAACTCTGAGCTGGAAACCTGGCAGCGCAGGAGAGCCAGCCCTGACACATGGCCTTCCCTCTCTCTCCCAGCCTGTGGCGGCCTCTGTCCTGCTCCACAGGGGGCCTCACCCACCGGATCGAAGGCAGTCCAGCTCCACATCCAAGCTCTATCCAAGCTCAAACGGCCACCCTTGGCTGCCCCTCAGGCCTCATTCACACCTTGGTGGTGGATAGTCTGCTCTTTAGATGGAGGAATCCAAAGAAAAGGCCAGTGTGAGCTGTGGAAGAAGCTTAGAGTGGTTGGAAGAAGAATTCTGGGGCCTAATTGAGAAGGGGGTCCATGGGATCCAGATGGATGACTGCCCAGACTTCTCATCTCCTAGGAAGAAGCATGGCCAGAAGAGGGCCAAGCAGGGTTTTCTTCATGAAATTTAGCTGTTTACAGACTCTATAAAAATTACTTCCCAAGTGACTTGTACAGTATGGCCCGTTGAAACTCATTAACATCAATAACAAGGGAAAATTTGAGACAGGGGCGTCTATGGAGGAAATTACCAACTGATAAATTAATACTAGGTTATTAGGAGAGAAGCTGAGCCTTCTCTGCCCTAGCATAGAGTAGAGATGATCCCTTTCTGGGAGTGGTTTGAATGAGCGACTTCAAAGTTAAGAATGTTTTCCATATGGAAATTATAGGGATTGGTGTTTTGAAAGAGATTGGATGTTTCCAGTGGGGTTTGGTTTTTCCAGGTGAATTATTGGAATTCTAATGTGAATGAAGTCCAGGGGGTCGTGATGGATCAGGAGGGGAAGGTGGTGCACCGGCTTTTTGGGAAGTGGCATGAAGGGCTCTACTGTGGCGTGGCCCCCTCTGCAAAGTGCATCTGGAGACCAGGTGAGATGGGCAGGAGTGTCTTGTGTCCGGAGGGCACCTTGAGTAACAGAAGGAAGGGAATGTCACATCTCGGGCAGTTCAACATAGGCTTCTTTCATTGTGAGATTAAAATCATAGATGCTTAAGGTAAGCATATATTTTACACTTAACATTCAAATTAGGTAAATCCCAATTTTTGATAATCAGGAATTATGAAATTGAGGCCAAATCTGACATGTGGTCAGAGATGAGGCTTCATGTAAAGCGATTCTAAATGTAATGCCTACATTCAAAAGTGAGGTTTGTTTATTAAAGAGTTCACACACTCGAACTATTCAAACTTAAATCCTTACTCATTTATTCTCTGTTCTGATAAAATAAGGGGAAAGCCTACAAACATCTCTAATCCACAAAGTCAATAACTTAACTGGAATAAGTGATCGTCTCACTTGGGCAGCAAAAAGCTGCAACGTGTTGACATTTAATAAAAGATATTGAGAGTTCTGGTAATACACTAGCAATAATTGAATATCAAGGGTAAATACAACAAGCGTCCGCATGATATTTATTTTCATTGCAGTTTTGTCAGTTAAGTCCTAACTTCAAAATTCGTTGGTTTTCTAAGAGACCTCAACAAGTATTTCAATTTCCTGCTGGTGGAGTTGTAGTTCATTCAGCAGCTATTTCTTGAGTAGGGACTATGCATCAAGCTTTACTCTGTAAGAGCTTGGAATACACCAACAAGCAAAGTATACAGAGATCCTCCTTTGAGTTTCGTTAAAGAGTGCCAATACATATTAATTTAGATCTGCATTTTTTTATGTTTCTAAAAGGAAGTCCACTGTGTTTCCGGTGAAATCTTAATGTTCCTAGTTCATCACCCTGGGATTTAGTTACCCAGCTGAACATTTGAGAGAAAATGATGGCATTGTTTACCCAGTAAAGAGTACTCTATGTACAAAGTTTTATTTTAAAGGCTGGATTTTAGGGGTACCTGGGTGGCTCAGTTGGTTGGGTGACAGCCTTCGGCTCGAGTCATAATCTTGGAGTCATGGGATCGAGTCCCACATCGGGCTCCCTGCCTGGCAGGGAGTCTGCTTCTCCCTTTGACCATCCCCCTTCTCGTGCTCTCTCTCTCTCTCTCTCACTTATTCTTTCTTTCTCTCTCTCTCTCTCTCAAATAAAATCTTTTAAAAATTTAAAAATAAATGCTGGATTTTATTAAATATATGAATCTACCAGTTCTGATAACTAACTCCAAGTTTCCTATCTAGGAAAACACAGCCAATTTAATTTGCTTAAGGAAAATCTTAATCTGATTTTTAGAACTACAAATTTAGTTATTCGTGTGGATATTAACTAAGCGCCTGGGTTAAGTCAGCTTCTGCAGGCTTCCTTAAACCTCTCTGCCACTCACGGTGGTTTATTGGCATTTCAGGTTCCATGCCAACCAACTATGAGCTCTACTATGGCTTCACGAGATTTGCTATCGAGCTCAATGAGCTAGATCCTGTCCTGAAAGATCTCCTTCCACCGACAGACGCCCGGTTCCGGCCAGATCAGAGGTGAGTAGGACAACCATGTTTGAAACGGACACTAAATCACGGTGTGGCACTCTAGATGCCATCGAAGCTTATTTTCGCCACCCTCATTTATGTATTCATGGAATCACTCATGAATTCCCTCATTCCCTTAGTCACTCCACACTATCTAAGCCTTCCACCCTAGCTAAGACGGTAATCGTGGGTGATCGTGACCGACACAGCTCAACAAAGTTTCCCACAGAAGATGACACAGTTCTTAACGAAAGGTTCCTGCCACCCCGCCCCAGACTCACCAGCAGTGTGCAAATTCATGAACTTGCTCCACTAAAACCTCCCCCAGGGTTTTCCCCTCTGTACTTCTACTACTCTGTCACGTGGACTATCTTTTAACCTGATAAAGAAGAAGATGATGGGTTACGGGAGCATCTAAAAGTGCTCCGAGTCAAAGTCTGGAGTTTGTCCGGCGTGCTTTTGATCCCATGGGATGTAAGATGTACTCAAAATGCAGTCCCTTTAATACCTTCTGATTCTTAGTTTTTATTAAATAGTTCTATGTGCATGTTGTCCATTCCCACAGAGTTAATTATACCTTTTCCAGAAATTCTGTATGTCACACAACTTCCCCCCAAGATAATTTTCTGTTGCCAGTATATCTGTGGCTGTATGTGTTTTCTGCCAAAATGCTCCAGTGTTGAATGTCTTACTCCTCAGTCCTCTTACACCGTGCCTGAACCCCCACTCCCCTGCCCCTGGAACGGGAGGTCTCATTGTCTGATATTCCAGCATATCAACAAACTTCCTGTAGGCATCACATTGAATCCCTGTTCTTTGCTCTCATTTTGGAAATTTAGATATAAGTTTTACAAAACACCACTGGGTCTGCCTTTTCTTTCTCGATTCCATTCCAGTATGCTCTTCCCGAATTTCATTTACAATTCATTTCCTTCTCGTGGGCTTTTGTAATTTCCCCCACTGTTAGATTCTCTTTTTGTCACCCGTTTTACTCTCTCCAGTAAAATGGGTGACAAAAAGTAAAACAGGGAAACTCCTTCCCTCTCAGGCTCTTCTAAAAGTAGGTGGAGAACAGCTAACTACCATCCTCCCTCCTCTGGCCTTGACCAAGTGTTTTTCAAATAATATGAAAAAGGAGCCCAACCCTGTACTTCATATTGTCTGGAGCCTGGGCTCTCCCATTATCCTGAAAATCTCAAGTTAGAGAACCCAAGAGAGCACAGGAGAGTCTCCAAGGCCAAACTAGTCCCCTTCCACCCCTATGTTTGCACTGCTGTACACAATATTTCAGTTGATGTACACGGCAAGTGTGTGACTGGTGGGCAGGCAGACAGAGGTAGCGTGGCCTGGGGCAGGGGCAAGGCGACATTATCAGAGTATGACCCTTCACCATGTTATAGTCTCAGCAACTAGAAGGTAATTTTATACAAGACGAGATTATTTTTTTTCTCAGTGGAGAGGATGTCCTATTAGAGGGATAACTGTGTTCTGCTTAGGTTTTTGGAAGAAGGAAATTTAGAAGCTGCAGCAGCAGAGAAGCAAAGAGTGGAGGAACTCCAGAGATCTCGAAGGCGCTACATGGAAGAAAACAACCTTGAACACATACCAAAATTTTTTAAGTAAGTCAGTTCATGCCCATAACAAGTTCATGTTTTGCAAATGATGGCCACCAGCCATGAGAAACCCCAGGTGAAAAGAGAAAATGAGGGATAGTTTAGTGTGCAAGCAGCTTAAAATTAAACTGATTAGGGTAACTTTGGTTTTGGTAGTGGAGGTATTGGACTAGATCTTGCACTTGTGAACAGTCTGTAAACACAAGTCGGTTCTTTTCCATGGCTCTTTTCTTTTCATGAACAGCAGGAAGGGTGAGGGCCTTGCCCACAATGCTCTCTCTACTTCAGCTACAGCATTGAGAATGGTGGAAACTTGTTTCCACCCCTCAGCTCAAGGCCACAGTGGGACACCCACTGCCCACAAGGTCATCCTGGCTTCATTAGTGTTTGATTTTATTTCTGTTGTACGGGGCTTGTGTCATTCAGATTTGTTCCTTCTGTGGTACCGTCATGGGTGATTATTACAGGATTATTTGAAGGATTATATATAAATCACACAGATGAAGCTGTGTTTTCCAGATCCATCTGTTACCCCTCTGGAGCCAGGGTATATCAGCCCAGAATAACCTCCTATCCTTTAGAATTGCCCTCTCATGACTGTCTTGGGGAGGAATGCAGCCTTGCCCTTTTGATGTTGAAAGTGCACTCTGATTGTGGACCATGCGGGGGCTCACAGACTACTGTGGTTGCGTACTCTTCCCCGCAAGCGAAGCTGAAACTCTTAGTATAGAACTTGCTCGTGCTTTTTCTTTCTTTCTTTTTTATTTATTTACTTAACTTTTTTTTTTTTTTTTTTGGAGATTTATTTGAGAGAGGGAGAGCGTATCGGGGGAGGAGCAGAGGGAGAGAGAAAGAGAATCCAGAGCAGCCTCTGCACTGAGCTTGGAGCCCAATGTGGGATTCGATCTCACAACCTGAGATCATGACCTGAGCTGAAATCAAGAGTCAATGACTGTGCTACGTAGGCATTATGTACCTGATTTTGGGGGTGGGGGGCAGTTCACTTTCTAGCCTTGCCTAGAAGTGATTTATTTGTGCCCTTTGTCCCTCTCCCCATGACCCCATCCTATTTCAAACAAATAACACAAACAAAATGGAGTTTCTTTTTGGTCAAAAATAGTCAAGACAGGGACACCTGTGTGGCTCAGTCAGTTAAGTGTTTTCTTTGTCTCAGGTCATGATCCCAGGGTGCTGGGATTGAGCCCAATGTCTGGCTCCCTGCTCAGCAGGGAGCCTGCTTCTCTCTCTTCCTCTGCCTGCCACTCCCCCTGCTCATATGCTTGCTGTCTCTCTCTCTCTCTCTCTCTCTCTGACAAATAAATAAATAAAATCTTAAAAAAAAAATAGTCAAGTCATCAATAAGCAGATAGGACACTAACTGGATTATGGAGTACCCCTTTTCCATACACATCCTATCTATGGGAGAGGGTCCAATGACCAGGCCACCTTGATGTGATTTGTGTCTAATGTTGATTTTTATATTTCCACAGAAAAGTTATTGATGCCAATCAAAGAGAAGCCTGGGTTTCTAATGATACCTACTGGGAGCTGCGGAAGGACCCTGGGTTTAGCAAAGTAGACAGCCCTGTTCTTTGGTAAACGGGGAATGTAGAGCTAGCCAACATATCACGCTCTGAATGAATAAATAACTATGCACAATTATGTTTCCTAGAGCTCCGCGTGGTTTCTGGGTCGACTGAAAACCGACCGTTTGCTTTTCTATTCATCTTTATAATGGACTTTCAGAAGTGCATTAGACGAGGCCCCTAACCACTTTCGGATCCTTTCTGTTTTGCTGCAACCATATCCCTTAAAAAACATCCATGCCCTCCTTGAGAAGCCGCATAAAAGGAGCAGAATACAAAATCCAAAGTCTGAAGTGTTTGTAAAGAAAACAGACTGTAACTGGTGCTTAAAGCTGATCCAGAGAGCTTAAAGCAACATGACATGTAAACCACGCGTTCGGGCTTTGTGTGGAAGCACCATACCCGCATCATAGAAGCTCCAGGGCCACGGCAGTCGTTCAGCTCAGACTTCGAGTGTGTCTGTTGGATGTGGTGTACTTGTGCTGACCTTGTCAAAAACGATGTGATACTCCTCAGACCCCGTTCCATCTGTACGCCATTGTTCATGCCTTAAGAAATGCAAAGATGTACAATAAATCATTTTTTAAATGTGTGCTCATAGGTTAATGTGAGGGACGGCTCTTTGGAATCATGGCGTGATTCACTTTCTGGGATCAGAACAAGTAAGAGACTAACGTAAGTGGATTTTCAAAAAGTAAACTACACATGCTTTTATTTGATATGTTAGTTCCTGTATCATCTGTCTGAAGGGCAAGAAGGAAAAGGTGTGCTCACTAGATCTCTGTTTTCACATTGCTCGTCAAGTTCCTGTCCTGCGACCAGATAATAAACCCTCTTCCACCTAATCTCACAGTGTGCCCTATTCTTTGGCAATATCTGTATTTGATTTGAACACTTGGCATCAGTGTTAAAACCATAGAAGGAAGTAACAGAAAGCCTGTGGGATTTCTGCGTGGGCTTAGGAGTCACTGCAAACAGAGCTATTTTTGAGCGGAACACAACGTAACCTGCATCTCGTCCTGGGCCCAAGCCGTGGGCACTCACGGAAACCCATTGGGAGCAGAAGCGGGCATACTGGTAGCTTATTTGCATTGTTTAAATGAGTTCTATGCAAAACCATATTTTATATTCCCATCAAGTGATTCTGTATGATACGTAACGACCTATTAGGCATTTGCCTTGCTACTGGCAGAGATAATAAAATAAGCTAAGGAATTTATCCATCCCAACAAAAGCCGGGGCGGTGGGGGGGGTGGGGGGAAGGGCAGAAATATGCTTTGCATACTTCAGGATTTGTTTTTTCTTCCAATATACAGAGGCTTTTGTAAGAAACTTGCATCAGTGTTCCTGAGTTTCTGCACGTAGATGACTATATAAATGCCTGTATGTTTAAAAAAAAAAACAAAACTTCTGAGTTTTTCCTAGAGAATTATAAAATTACATATGCTTTATTCTTGGAATCTTACCATCAGGTTTTAAGTGCTATTTTAAACTCTGATAACAAGGTTATTGACATTTTACATTTGGTTATGAGGTGTTGATTTTAGTGTTCTTTCTCCTCAGCAAAGCATTCCTAATGAATGACTAACCCACTCTCAAACCCTAACCACTGCTGAGAGCAGAAGGGAAAACTCCGGAGTCTCCACTAGGTGGAGCAGTGTTTTAGTTCTGAAGCTCATCCCGCCGCCCATCCGCCCTCCCCACCTTGTATGGAGTCCCTACATTATGTGTACCGTAGGGTTTAAAGTGAAATTTCCTTTTCAATAGTAAAGGCCCTAATCCATCGCCAGATCTAAGCATTCCACTGGAGCAACACCTTCCCTAGAATTCTCAATGCCTTTAATTCCCATATTAAATCTATAGGTGGCTTGCCCCGAGGTAGTAAAATTATTCCCTTGTTACTGATTTTTTTCTGTGCATTCATCGTGACGTCTTTTTATCTGCATCCTGAGATACATGCCTTTAATTTTAATTAGAATTTAATTAAATTCTAATTCTAAATTTTAAGTCTAGTTCTAAATTCTAATTCTTCCCCGTAGAAGTCTGTTCTCCCGCAGTTGGTAAAGCTTTAAATACTATGTAAAGGGGTTCTGGTCTGTACTTACTAGCACTTCCCTCAACAGTCTCAAAATATCTAGCCTAAAAATAAGAAGAGAATTCTGCAAAGCAAAGGTACTGTGAGTAGAGAAGTAGGAAGGTGAGGCATTAGGTGACTGTGGGTGTATCAGACAGCTGGAAGAGGACCCAGGGCCCATCAGGGAAGCAACTACCATACCTGGTATTCAGGCTGAAATTGAGAAAAAGAGTAACGACTAGAAATGACCTTCATTAGACAAGTTCAAGCGACAAATCAAGTAGGCAAATGTTGCTCAAAGCTAACCTGAAACTCTGATTAGGATTTCAAGATAAGAATGGGAAAAATGTCACGTTAATGAAAAGCACCACATTTTATAATATTCCAGATTTAGAATCTATTTTGAGATCCAGACATCCTGATTAGACTCCCAATTCAAGTGATCAATTAAGTTTTAGATAATATTCCTATAATACCTGATTCACAATTCTCCCTATTAGTATTCATGCCCATGTAATGGTCTCATCCCTCCCACCCACTCCCTGCTCTATCCCCCCCCCTTTTTTTTAACTTTGATTGATATCACGGTTTTAGAATTGTCAGACTTTCTCTGTTTGGGATTTTCATCCACATAATTTGGGGGCTTTTGAGACTAGTTTAAACAGCAAACAGAATAAATGTTAGATCATTCCTGATAAAACCTGACTTATTTCTTAGAATTTTATATAAGCCTCTTTGTTTCAAGGGTACATTTCTTATTTGTTTTTCCCCAGAACAATCTAAACTAGAGCAAGACTTAATATATCTTTATACCTCCCCCATGATTTATTCATCAGCTCCTTCATCTTTCTGAGCTGGTCATTAAGGAAAGCAGTAATAAGTGATGATGGCCCTGTGGATATGGCTAGACTGAGCAGATCGATGGCACACACCAGCATTCATAGAGGCCGACCAGAAACCAATCATTTTGCTTCCATATGCTGCCACCCAGGGTGCAAATGTACTCTCAGATTTTGCCGTTATTTTTTTTAATTAAGTCATTATTTTTCATGGGTTACTTACAAGTATCCCATAATTTCCAGGCAGTTGTAAAAATAAACCTCATTTAAGATACCTTTTAATATTGCCTATCAATTATATGTGACATAAAAACTACCAAATGTATTTACCAAGGAAGAGAAACCAAGGGGTCGTCCATACAGAGGATGCCAGGTTGTTGATTTTCCAAACCTTTTGCTCCTCTTCATTGTTCTGGTCCCCGTGCCTTTCAGCAATCCCACTAACCAATAGTGTTAGCCCCTGCCTGGAGGAGCACTTGGAAGGCAGGGGTTAAAGAGGAACCTGATCAGTGGTTTGCTTAGTTCTGGTTACGGCTGTGGCTGGAGAAGACTTTATAGTCATAATCTAATGTATGATTTTGTTATTACAAAAATTAATTCTCCATCTTGTCTAATCTTGTTCCCTATCATCCTGGATAATGAAGTGTTTGGGGGAGCAGAGCTCCTCACACGCCAGGGGGTGTAATCAATGTTTGCACTTGGCTCAAGTCATTATATTATGAATGTGGCACAGTAAATAAAGTTTGTGTACAAAATACTAGTTTCTTTCTATGGGAGCCATTATGTTCAGGATATATATAATGTATCTAATTAAACAATTATGAACCTATCTTGTGTTCTAGAAATGGTCTTTTGGGGGGAAAGACGAAAAAATGTAATTGGAGCTAAGATTAAAGTGTTTTGGTCTTGTTGGGGTTTTGTTTGTTTGTTTTCAAAAAGCTTCCCAATCATTTGGAAGTACTGCTTATCAAAACATGATCAAGCCCTCTAGATTTTTATAAAATTGATACCTTTAAAGTATACATTGCATGAATCTTCCGTTAAGCCTGACTGTTTAGCTTTAATACATGACTGTGAGAATGCGCCTATTTGACTGAGTTGTAAGAACTTCACTGCAGGCTTTGCTATTAGAGAAAATGGTAAACTGCTTAAGAAGGGTTAGCTTTAATTCTTTCAAAATGAGATCTAAAAATAGAATTCTTGAAAAATCGTTGTGATGAAGCAGCATGGCCAAAATTCGGAGCTAGTGAAGCCCCATGATTAAGGCAACTTACACGGGGCAGTTTCCTGTCTGTTACATGCATCTTTTTGTTTTCCAAAACCGCCATCCTTTTTCTCCTGCCTCTGGTCCTAACATAGCGAGGGGCAGGGATACACATGTCTATTCTTTTGCACTGTGTCATTGAGTATGGGAAAAATATGCAGAATTTATGCACAGTTGCAGGGAACCTCTGCATTAACCCTCCGTGGAACATTAATAAATGTTCATGGATTTAAAATTGCCCCATAATTACATATTATTCATTTCCTTGGTTTCTTCAGATTGGTAGGAAAAGAAACATAAAACAACAATTTCTTATTTTCTGCAATTTTTCCCCATTATGCTTCCTTCTAAATATAAACTAGGGCAAAGGTGATTAAAAGGATCTTGAGTTTTCAGAAAATAAGGTATAATTCTTTGAGTCTACACGTTTCTTCTTTCTTTAGGTTAATAAGGTAAGCAACAATTTACTACTGTTAAACAGAAGAAATGCTAAACTTATTTCTTTCATCGTAGGCACCAACTTCCCCATCCCCTATTTATCATCATCCAGTTATTTCTTTAGGAAATGATGTAGTTGCTAGAAACTTTTTTCAGTCATTTCCAACTTATCGAGCTAGAGCTGGCAAAAACTTTACATGCATGAATGAGTAATTTGATACATTTTGACATATATACATTCTTGACACCATCACCACAATCACAATAATGTAATCCATCACCACCAAACGTTTCCTCCACCCCTTTCTCTTCCCTCCCCTGACCTTCCCCATCTGCCACCCCGAGACAGTCGTTGATCTGCTTTCATTACTTCTTAAAACTCTGCATATTTTCTTATCTTTATTGCATATGGGACTTTTCTAGAAGACCATGTGCTTAGGGTAGATAGGTGCCACCAAACATCTCCCGTGCCACTACCCCAGTATTCCACCATCAGTACTAACACATTATAAGAGGATCTCATTTAGTTCTAGGTCTGGTGGCCAAGTAGAAATTTTAAATTTTAAATAGAAGACAGTAAACGGTTTCATATCAAAATGGCCGTTAATGAATTCATTTCCATCTTTGGAGTGAAGGGTAATCCACAATAATGATAACAATGAACTTGTTGGCAGAACTGTGGAAACCCTAGGAAGGGTTTTCGTCTTGTTTGTAAGGAATGCATCACTGACAAAGCCGTGAGAATCCAGAATGACTGCTCTAGAAATGATGGCGTCTTGATAAAAATGACGCAGGAAGTAGGCTTTGCTGCTTTCTTTTTTACCAACCTAGCTCCACTTTGGGGTCACAAACATTTGAAAGCTCCGGGGCTAAAAAGGCTGCGTTTCCATCTTTCCGAATGCACTCACTCCTCATCTGGAAATCAAGTAAGCCTAACTTGCAGAAAGTTCATGGAAATGAAGTAACTGCAGTCCAGGTTGCTTCCTGGCATTGGCCTCTGTGCAAGTTGAGAGCTTATTCCTTCTTTCCTGCCCCTCAAAGCTTGTTGCTCAAAAGTAGGAAACTTTTCCAGAGACCATTAAATATAGCATGATTAACATTAAATGCTAATGAAGAAAAAAGCCAAGAATGAATAAAAGAGAAATGGAATCTGAGAAGGAAATGTAGGCTCCCTAAGTGGACCGAGGGTCATTCTCCGTGGGGGCATGTGAGTGGATCCCAAGGGGCCAAGTTATTGCCTTGGATGTTTATTTAAAGGCAGATTCCTGAGCTTCCCTCTGAAGATTCTGAGTCCCTAAATCTAGGGTATGGACCAAGAATCTGCATTTTACCAAGCATCCTTGGCCTCTAAGAAATTTTGAGGCAGATGGGAAACCTCCATGAGCATGGGCTAGCCCCACCAACCACTTCCTGGTCCCTGCTCCAGTCTCAGGATTTTGTTTTTTGTTGTCTCATAGCGACATTTAGGAGTCAACAAGAAAGTCTGCTTCAAGGAATAAAAACTGACTAGAGCTCAGTGACTTGTGACTCACCCACCATGCTGGCTTCTTGTCAGTTTGATGACTTCTGTCCTGAGGCCAGTGCTGTGATATGGACATGAAGAGGAGGGAAGACAGAACTCTGAAGCCTGAAAGATGAGACTGTGTTAACCAGAGACCATAAAAGTCTGTTCTGGGGAAATTCTAACCCGCCCAGATAAACAGAACTTCTACTCTTCAAAGCAATGGACCAACCTCTTCTGCCTCACCTTCCCCTCCCTCTTAGATTTGGTTCATGCCTCCAAGGGA